TGCAGTACAAATTTGCGCCTTATTTTGCAGCTCGATTTTACCCACTAGTTTGATATCTAATCAACCCAGTACAAGATCATGTCAGTCTAATAATATTCTTTTTTCCCTCCAAAACAGTCAAATAATAACAATAATAAAACTGTTGAGCAAAAACACATGATTTCTTATTTCAGTTTTAACTTTCAATTCATGGTTTTACATATAAATCCTTTTAAATGTATGTTTATCTGGTTGGAAAGCAATAAAACTACAAAACTACAGCTGAGTTATGCCGATTTTTATCTGGTGTTCATCTATCCGTTCTGTTCTCTAATCTATTCTGTTTTAATGACCCCCCGCAGATCACCCACATCTGTACAATAGGAGAATGAACTGAGAATAAACTGTGTAACCTAGATACAGTACCTCAAAAACTTATTTATGGATTTGCATAAAACTTATCATGCAAATTACTGCCCCTTAGACTAGCGCCACCATCAGCTCAAATTTTATGCCATCTACTAAAAGTTATTGTGCACATCAGTGTTTCCATCAGGAAGTAACCTTTTGATGTTGGTGATTCCTTGACCTTTATGCCTGTGTCACCATCAGGTCAAATTTTGTCCATGTTCGTATGACTATAAATTATCTAAATGGTACAACATTGACTGTAAAAATAAAGGGTGTCATGATTCGTCTTCTCGTTCCCTCCTCTGGACCTACCTACCCACTGTCACGACTCATGTCTCAGCTCTGTTCACTTTCACCTGCTCTCCTAATTTCAGTCACTTACACACCTGTTCCTAATTTCCCTGATTTGCTCCCTGTTATTTATGCCAGTCCTTTTTCCCAGTCATTTGTCAGATTGTCTGCTCATGTCTCTATGTGTTTCCCTATGTGCCTGATAGCTGCTACCAGTCTGCCTGCCTGCCTGCCTGCCTGCCTGTCTGCCTGTCGGTCTGTCTGTCTGTCTGCCTGTCTGCCTGTTGGTCTGTCTGCCTGTCTGCCTGTCTGCCTGTTGGTCTGTCTGTCTGTCTGCCTGTCTGCCTACCTGCTTATCCATCCGTCTATCAGCCTGTGTGTCTGCACCTGGGTCCTCTCTGCCTGTGCTGCTGCCACCAGCAATAACAGACAGGTAGCTGGGCAGATTATAAGGTCTTGGCAGAGGTCTGCATTGAGATAACTACTTTCTTGCCTGACCTTTAAATCTCCCTATGCAGCCTCCAGATTTACAAATCCAGCCCATTATATTCAGTCCCACAATGGGTCTGGAGTAAAGTAGCCTGGATCTCCAAATTGAATCACCACCTTCACCAATCTGCAGGGATTTGGCTGAATTCCAATATCTCTATAAACAAATCACCACATGTGACTTTAATGTCCTGAAAGGGATTGTACCTGCAGGGGAAATTATTCCAAGTGATTTCTCTTGAGCAGCATGACGCAAAAAAATAAAAATTAGAAATCATGTGGTTTAGCAAAGTATGGTATAGACATAGAGCTTTGTGCAAGTACAACTATATAGAGCAGTCCATGACTATATTATTGGAAGTAGAAAAACACAAGGCGTGAACTACAAGGGAGGGAAAGTTTAATCAACAGGATTTGTCTTTTTTTCTTCTCTGATTTACTCTTAAATGTGCCTCCCTAATGAGGCCTCTCAGCAGGGCACTTCTGCTTTAATTTCTTATGAGGGAGGATCCACAGTATATCAAATTTGCTTGAAGTTCCCCTCTAATAGTACACCATCTGCCATCACACAGGCAAGAGCATTTGTTTTGAAAAAATATAACCAAGATCTGCAACTAGTGGATCTTTAGTTTGGCTTTAAGTGCTGGACGCTGGATGGACGCTGCATTTTGAATTAATGGCTCTAATAAAACCATCCATGCATGCACATGTCGGACCATCTCAGGACCGAATGAGGCAGTTCTTTATTTTCTTTCAAATATATCAGATAGTATTGCAAAGGCAACAGAAGACATGTAGAACAAACACTGATGCCACAACATACTATCTTGCTGAGGACACAATATAAAAGTGTTGTAACAAACAATGCACTTAAAGTTGAGCCTCGGTAGTACAGCTAAAATGTTGAGAGTGGTGCTAGAGGAAAGGCCACTGGGTCATTACAATCACAAACGTTTATCTCTGTGGGAGCATGAATTCAGCCAGAGCATTTCTATAGTCTACCAGCCCGATATCGTGTGTGTGTGTGTTTGTGTGTGTGTGTGTGTGTTGGAAATTTTGTGTGGAGTGGAGTGTGGAGCTACAGAAAAGGTCTGGAATTAAACAAGTTCATCCTCTCGGAGGCTTGTAATGTAAATGTAATCACAAAACAGCTCATTAGATTTTTATATTTCTTGAGTAGAACTATTTTTTCCTTGGTGTGCTGCTGTAGAAAAAGTCAGTGTGTTCACCAGAAACATTACAATTTAACCTTCTGGGGCCTGAATATCCATATCAGGTTTTATGCCACATTGAACAGTAATTGAAAATATATCTCAACAACCTCTTGACCAAAGTGTCAGAGGGACCGGCCAACCAACTCACATCATTTTCTAGTAGCTCATGGACCAAAAAGGGAAGAAAAACAACACGAGGAACAAGTTGTTAATGCTACTGTACACAAACAACAGAAAAAAGACAGGATTTCTTCTTATTTCCTGCAAAGCTCAGCAGCACAACACATTGTGCACTGTTGCTTCCTGATGGTACTTCTCCAGTGCAGCTGGTTTTAGAGGTCAAAAGACGACTTCAATTATAACTTCAATAATTACTGGACTGGTGCAATACAATGCTGGATGTTGACTCTCGCTGCAAAGCTGCTCCTTTAATCCCTCTGTTCACAGTCTTCAACAGAACATGGCACACTTCCCTAATTCTCATTCTCTGCCATCTCTGCCACTGCCGGGGGGGGGGACCAACAGGACGAAAAAATCCAAACATCACAGAAACCTCCTCCAGCAAACACAAATTAGCTGGTTTTATCAGAAGACCCAACAGTTATATTTTTACATTTATATACCAAAAAAAAAAAACAAAACAAAAAAACACAGGATGTCTCGTACAGCAGCAAAGATAGGAAATAACTCGGCTATCTCACTCGACGGTTTAGAAATGATCTCATCTGGAGAATGTTTCTTTACCACACAGGGTTTCACATCACACGTGAGCTTTTAATTATACTATAAGACTATTAAACAGACATACATAGGAAGAAAATTATGAATTGAGCACACTTAATTAAAGCTTATTGAGAAAGATTGAAGGCAGAATTGAAATAGGGTGGAACCACAATTATTACTTATAATTCAATGGAATCTGTTAATGGTCTTGAAGAAGTCCCCACACCCCCCCCCCCCCCCCCCCCCCCCCCCCCCCCACACACACACACACACACACACACACACACACTATTATTGTCCCATTCTTCCCTAATCTTTAAGAAACATTTGAGAAATGCCTTTTCACCGCCATCTTTTATCCTCCTGCCTCGACTCCTCAGCTCCACAACCCCTGAAAAACTTCTCATATTTGTACATTCGACCACTTGTAGTGTCATGTACAGTATCAGCTGTGGAAAAACTCAACACAGACATCAACTGCAAGATGGAAAATTGTATAGCGCACGGGAAAAAGTCTCTTACTGTATGATATTTCAGTTTACCTCCCACTGTAGAAGCACAGGGTTGTTGGAGGGCCCTGCTCTTCAATTTCAGCAGCGAGTATTAAACTGTGACCTGCCTGAAAAGCGAAGTTACTGCTCATCTCTCAATCACAGAGCGAATCCTCCAACAACAATGCCAGCGAGACAATTTAATACTTGACTTTTAAGTTTTACAAGGCCAAAGGACGTTTAGGAACGGATGAAGATAGAAGTGTATCAACTGATATTTGCTGGAATATCATATTTGAAGGATTTTAAAAAAAAAATGTTGGTGTAGACGAGTCACCCTCATTGTGTATATGGTTTAGGCTTCACAGAGTACAGTCTGAATGAAAAGGAAAGAGGAGAGAAACTTTACACAACACATGCTCTTACACAAACTCTTCATGTATGTCGAAATGGATACTCCAGAAATACTATTCTCAGCAGCACTGAGTGATTGAGTATATCCTTTAACTTGAAGTTCCTGCCTTCCTAACAGCAAGCGTCTGTCCTGTTGAAGTGTCCTTGGAGCGGAGATGTTGAATCCTTCAGCTTCAGGGTTGCTGTTATATAGTACGTGTGTTATTAACCCTATCAAGTGAAGAGGTTTATTACATTTCATTGTAGTGTGACCTCTTAAGCCTGGAGCTTATACTCATATACTCATACTGATGGTAAATACTTTTCATAGAACCACTTTTATATTCAGTCTGTAAAAAAACAAAACAGAAAAAATTTAACGGTGTCCCACAAAATATATTTTCTATGAATAATATATTTTCTTATAAAAAAATATAATTAATAAAGCAGTTGGGGTGATCTCAAACTGTACAAGTGATTATTTGTTGATTTCAAGCAACATAAATAGCCCTGAAATAATGTAATATAGCACACTGTAGATAACTAAAAGTACAGTATATCCCAGCACACACTGTTGTGCACAGACCCACACGGATGCGGACATTAACCTAGGTGGAGTTCATGTTTTAACTGCTGACACTATAGCTTCTGGCTCTTTGAACCAAATGGGTCCCCTTGCAGGATACATAATCCATTATCATAAATCAGATGCGCCAACACAGACAGGTGCTGCATGAATAATTAAAGGTCGGTACATTAGCACTTGTGTGGAGGTATGTGTTTGAGCCGACGTTATTGAACGGGCTAAAAGCGCCGCAAAACCCCTCCATCCACATTAAACAGCTTAATGCTTTGCACTACAGACGGAAATGATGTACAAGTTGGAAAGAGGAGCCCAACCTCACACCCTCCTCCCTCTGAATGAAACCCAAACACAGAGGTCTGTGTCGGTGGGATACACACAGCTTGGAGCAGTGTTCGTCCTCTGTTCTCCTGTGTGGTCCTATCTCTAGTGGTTGAGCTGGTAGCCTTGTCTGAACCTGAGCGGGTGAGCCAGGTTACTCTGACTGTGTAATGGAGAGTCCAGGGAGCTGGAGGCAGAGCAAGCAAAAGGTCTGCTCAAGCAAGGAGGCTTTAGGACTACAGATCTCCATTCTAACATTAATTACACTTGAGGCAAATTCATTTGGATTTCTGCCCAGTGAGAGATAAGCTTTTACTGCAGACAAGGCAAGAATGGAGCCTGAGAGGAAGGAGAGATACTCTTGATGCTGCCCTATTTGGCTCTGCAGTGGTTCTTTTATCACAGAAAGTTTTGTGGCTTGTAATGCCACGTGTGTGGAATTCAATCAACCTGTAATTTACATAACACACGGCAAGGTGCAAAACTCTCAGAGTGCAGAGCTGTCTGATAGACCAGCCACACTCCAACAATTACAGATACAATATAGAATGAAAGTGTTGTAGTGAACTTGTTTTGTGTAGAGTGAAATATCTGGAATGCATTATAGCGCTTAAGTTGATTAGTTGATCAACAAAAAATGTAGCAAACATTTTTATTATCCATTAATCATCGGCTATCTATCAGGCAATCAAACCCTATGTGAGAATTGTTTTATTTGATTGTAAATTAAATATCTTTGGCTTTAGGAAACAGAATGGGCATTTTTCTTCTTCTGACATCGTATAGACAAAAAGATTAATTGGTTCATTATGAAATAATCAACAGACTGATCAACATGAAAATAATTGTTTGTAGCCTCAGTGCATCATAATAAATATTTCTTTTCTAAGAGTTAGAAATTACAAACACCAAGTATTTAAAAAATATACATCACATTTATTTTGTACTGACACCAAGAGTCCGTACAGAGTTGTCTTTGTCTATCGATGTGTTTGGGCACTACAGGTAAGTACCTGTTTCCTACTTCCATACATCCAACAGTCAACAAACTGTATCACCAAGCATTGCTTAATCGCTACCAAGAAACAGAGAGTTTGACATAGCTGACACACACCACTGTGTTTTTTTTTCTTTAAAGGTAACACAATGTACAAAAAGCAAGTCTGGAAATAGTAAGATTCTTGGTTCCATAAAAAACTTTTTTTCTCCTCAATGTGTGAATAAGAAAACAATGCACTTATCTCTACTGAGCTTCTGCTGCATTGCTTGTTAGGCAGCCAAGGGGTAAATTGATGCAGATAAGTAATGAAAAGAAACAGGCCGGCTGATCCCTGTATTACTACCACAGCAGCTTTCGAGGAATTGTTCACGCTCTGTAGAGCCCCAGAGCTGTAGGAGCCGTCTGGAAGTGGTTAGATGCCAGTCAATGAGAGGAACACATGATGTTAAAGTAATGATTAAACAAATCTTTCCACACAATGTACACTACAGTACAACACTACCGTGATGTTGGAAAGAACGGTGCAAATCAAACGTCCAGGGGCTCAAAAGAAACGGGGAACTAAAAAAGGATGAACTCTGAAGAGCCGTGTGTTAACTGGCAGACTCAACCCCCTTCGGCAGGCCTCAGGCCCTGTGAGATGGGTAAGGCCAAAGCAAGCAGGCAGTCAGAGGGAATGAGGGAGTGGAAGACCGGTGGCTCCCTCCACGAAAATGAGGACGGCACAGTGGCCTCACCAGGAAGCTGAAGGCACCAGAAGAACCAGGAGCAGTGCTGTCCATGTTAGGCTGGGTGGCAGACAGTGCACTGAGCACTGGTTGCTTTTTGCTCGAACACCTAAGAGAAGAGAGGGAGGGAGACAGGGAGGGAACAGGGAACACTGATGAAAACAAAGATGCTAAACAAAACGCCAGAACTGCATTCATTTTTAAAGCTAAATAACTCCATTGATATGAATGAGTTGCTCTCAGGAAGTTTGGAGCTATGAATAAATTGTGTTTTTTTTTATGTAAAAGGAAGAAAAAAGGAAAATGATGAAGAACAGGAAAACAGCGATTCATTGCCCATGAAAAGCTGCTTGGTCATGTTGTGTGCAACGACTGCAAACTTTCTGTTCGTCGTGTTGCTTAAGAGTTAATTGGCTGTGCAAGAGTAAGAAGGTTTGTGGGGGCGAGGTAATTATAACAGTATTAGCCAAGGAAAACTTGGCTGGCACAACAGCTGTGGTGACTCAATTAAGGGCAGAACACAAAGATTGCTACAAAGAGAAAACGGAATGCGCATGGGGATTGGATTTCAGAGGTCATGAAACAGAATGTGAGGCTGGGAGAGGAGGCAACTAACTATCTTGGAGCTTACCGGAGGAGGTGACAACTCGAACTTGGGAGCTGACCGCTCCCTCTCCCCCTTCGCTGAGGGCACGCACCTCAATGATGTAGGTGCCTCCCTCTGGCAGTGAGAGCATGGTGGAAGGGTTGATGGTTCTTGTCACCTGGTTGTGGCCCCTGCCCTCCTGTTTGAGTAACACCTGTAGGACACATGCACATTTATGTTTACAACATATATATACAGCTCATACTTATGACATATACAGTATATATTCAAGCAATATCACACGAGAGGGAGTCATGTTGTACTGAATATCAGTGCGGCTGTGATTCGGTCATAGGTACACATAACACATAAACATTTTCCTCATTTGCACAGTGCACACTATGTGCACGCTTGCTATTTTGTCTACACGTTCCTCAGGTGTGCGCTGAAGTATCCAGGCTTCTTCTCTTCATCTTCTTCTGAAGACCATACATCATTTAATTCAAATGTTATTTCTGGAAATATAATCATCTTTGCAAAGTTTGTTACAATTAAAGATAGATAACGGTCATTAATGTAATGCTAATTAACGGTTAATAGAACACCTGTAGATCGAGGGATACATGTAGTTAAAAGTCCCAGTGCTGTTATACTCTATATCAGCACTCATGGAATGACTCACGTCCAGTTATGTGTTTGTTATGTCCATGTGTGTGTGTGTATATATATATATATATATATATATATGAAGACACACTTAAAAGGCTTTGATTGGCATGAAACCAAAACATTATTTTGGTATAGATTTTTTTTTTGTGAGTGCAAGCTAAAGCATCACATTTCACAGAACCCTTATAATACATTTGTCAGTTTATACTGATTCAATCTCAGATTCTGATGTTAACTGATTTCATCAACACCTGTGTGATGTTTCGTTTCCAGCTGCAATGCACAGGTACTGCAGCTCAATGGCCTATTCGTCATACCAAATTGACTTCACATCCCTTTAGTTGCATTAATATTTTCCTGTTTTATGAAACTGAACAAACACGGCTTTAGCAATGGATCATTACCATGTACCCGATGACATCAGATTCATTGTCTTTTGCCTTCACTGGGTCCCAGCTTAAAGACACGTTGTTGCCCTCTTGAATCCACATGAGGTTGGCTGGAGGTTGAGCGGGGGCTGAGGAGAGAATACAGAACTTGTGAACTAGGTCAATTACTATACTTTTTAAAAGGGGATTTAGAGCAAACTTAACAGGTAGCCTCTGTTCCATATATAGTATTACATAATTAGTGTCAGTGCAGTACTCACGGGCTTTTCTGGTCTTGGCTGTGACAGCAGCACTAGCAGGACCCTGGCCGATGCTGTTGAAGCCCTTAACTGTGATGAGATACAGACTGTTGCCCTCTAGTCCTGTCAGGACCATGGACGTTTCATTTTTCACAGTTCTTTGTTTTTTTCCTGACTCTTCCTGCTCCATGTCTTTCCAGTAGCTGACCTTTAAACAGAAATGAATGAAAAAATGCTATTTTCAGACTTCTACTCATGCACAGAGGTATGCATGCTTATGCAAAATGTCACATACTGTATGTAAATGTGCAAATGTGCACACAAACACACACAACCACAGGCAAACTTATAAAAACCTCATATCCTCTTGGTCTTCCGGGACCAGGGTTGGGCGGTTTCCAAGTGACCCTAATTTCTGATGAAGAAATGCTGTGAGCTTTCACATCAGACGGAGCTTCCCTTGGTTCTGTGAAACGAGTCAAAACGTTGACAATCATACAAAAAGTATTCCCTCTGTTCTTTTTGAATCCCTGCAACCACACGTATTCACTCACCGCCTTCAGCAGAGTGGATGATGACAACCCTGCTGAACGGCCCATCTCCCTTATTGTTGTACACTCCCACCTTCACTTCAAAGGGGGTAAGGGGAGGGAAGGTCTCATCTCTGTATTTGTATGTCGTAGAATCAGCAGAAGTCACCATCTTCTCCTTCCAGCCTCGGGTCCCGTTGGCACGAAATGCAACAATATACCCGAAGCCCTCACCATTTTGGAACTCCTCCGATACAGGCTGAAAATATCACAGAGAGATACAGTCACCCGAGCGTGTCCTTCACTGAGATGGAAGTGCAAACCAGGCTTACTAGCACTAAAGCTCTGTAACTGATGGTGCATTATTTGCACATTTTCTCATTTGAACAGCTTCCTCTGTCCAAACAAGGGTTTCATTAGAATAGAAAAAAAAAAAAAAATCAAGCATAACTTTTTCCTCTATGGTTGTCCCGTATAAGCAGCTTTCAATATCCTCCCCATTTACTGTAACTGTCTGCCAGTGTTAATAAAGATGCAGTCAGTCTTCAGTAATAGAAACAAATCAGATCTGGCTCAGTTGTACCCATTATGTAGCTATTTATCTTTCCATGTCTGACAGGAGGATTTTGGGGACACGGGTTTTGTGTGCTGGCTTCAGTGCTTATCTATGGTATTCCTGAAGTGGTAAAACTGGGAGCTGTCTTCCACAGCTGCTCTGCGCTTAATCAAATCAAATGCCAATTTATTAAGTGAGCTAAAATTTAATTAAAATACGAGCTGCGGGGATTAAATCTTTGGCTAAATTTATTAAATGACAAACACCTGTACACCTGTTTTTGGCAACAAGTCTGCCGCTCACGAGGTAATGTGCTGATTTGCATAGGCTTCAAAAGAATATTGTCCCCTGAAGGCATCACCCAAATTAGCCATCTAGTCTACAGAGGGAACGGCGGTGGATGGAGGTGTAGTTCACATTTCATTCAACAACGACCAATCACCATGACTGCCTAATTACAGGGATGATTAGTGAAAATGAATTAGCTTCCATCAAAGCTATCATCAGAGCTGGAAATGGTTTTAAAGACATGCTAACGAATATAAGTCTTTTAAAAACAGCATGAACAAATTAGCTAGTTAAGTCTAGAAACACTTGCAGGTTTGGGAATTGAGATAGTCTCAGATAAGTGTGAGAGTGCCGATAATATAACTGAGGTAAGTCTTAGGGATGAAATTGTGGGGCCTGCTGGGCTCGGTGACGGTGACTGTGGGGGCATCACTAATGGTCCTCCCAATGGCTCCCCGAGAAAAAGCAGTCTCTCACCGTCGACTCTAATGAGACGGCTGAATGAAGCTGCGGAGACTGTTTAGTCATTCATCCTGCTTAATAACCCTGCCCACCATGGCCGTCCAGGCTCTGACAACTCTCCACAGATGATTGGAGAGGTGGAACTGCCATGCGCTCACATGCCTCGACTGCCAAAAAGGGCTAACATTCCTGCTCCGTCTCCTTTAATATCCATCTCCATTGATCACAGACGGAGTCCTGATTTATTTCCAAAAGCATTTAACAGAAAGGCGAAGAAATAGGGCAGAACTAAAACGACTTAAAATGCCAAGTAGCAAAAGGAGGACGCTGCATCTAAATAGAACATCACAGCATTGTCCAGTGATACTCTTGAAAACTGACAGACTTATTGATGGGTGATTACTTCTTGTACCCGACAATGGGCAGAGAGGAAGAATCCTTTTTAAAGGAGCGCTTTAATTATTCAAGTACATTCTGTACTTCAGATGTGAACCGACCCGATTGCAAAAAATGTCTGAATAATAACAACTGATCAGACTCAGTAAGGTTTACACTCAGTTTTCTGCTGAGGCCACTTGATGAAAGATATTGTTCCAGCCATGGAGGTTTGTAACAATTAAGCTGCAGATATATACAGTTTTCTTTGTCTTATAAAGAGAGTCTGTAAGAATTCTGGGTAAGAAACAGTTTCACTAAGAATGATATTTTATAATGACTCAAATTCATGAATGGCTTGAAAGGACTCTTTCTTCGGGTTTTATCTAACCAAGCACCGATCAGTGTTCTGCATAACTTTAAGTATGCCTTGATTGTTCTCCCAACATGGGGTCCTGTATTTATTCATAAGGAGGTCGTCATTGTGTTATACTAGGCAAGCTAATGACAGTTATAAATAGGAAATGGTCTACCACCAAACACCATCCCATCTGGAATGGACATTATCCCCCATAATGTGCCACCGAGGTGCACTTCTCCTCGTGTGAAGGTTATCTTCCCAGTGGCAGTTGGCTCCCATGCTTAATAACTACAAGAATAACTGTCAGTTGCTTCCACATCTGTTCACTGTTCCCCTGTTAATATATCCTTCAACTGATCTCAATTGCAAATTTTCAGCTTTGCTCATAGTAATTCTGTACATGGTACACCCTGAACCTGGCTGAGAGCCAAGCTGTCCACTTGGAAACAGTTCACACTAATATCCTCTTTACTTAGTGTGAGATTTATTACATTTTCTACAACCATTGTCAAGATCCAGAGTACAAACTGATATTTATAAACATCCCTGGATTTATTGGGAGCGACTCTGAGATTCAAGGTTAATCGTCATTGTGCCTCTCTGGTGGGACCAAATTTAAAATTCAGTACATCTTAATCACTTGCCCGGCTGATGCAGCTCTGTGTAATATACGGTTCAGCTGGCCTTCTTTGAGCTTTGTCAGCAAATTTTGCAATTGTGACCGAGTTGTGCCCTCAAACAAATTTCCAACACAATAAAGTGAGAAACTGTTTAAAATACAATGAGCTATGATCTTGAGGCATTGCTGCTGTTAATAATAAATCAGGAGTTTTTGCCCTGCTGGTAATGAAACTCTCCACAGCTAACAATACTTGCACATGTGTTCTATAGATCTAACAATGAGGAGAGCCAATTACATTTTTGAGCACATTTACCGGAAATGAGCGTAAATTGCTTCCCCAGAAAAGCTATAAATCTGTCAGTTATAATTATTTCAAGAACTGTATTAAGTAAAGTTGAGTCCAGGGACAATGTCGTCAACATATTATTTTTGTTGTATTAATTTGAAGAGGATCCATTTGTTATAAAATGCTCATATTGCATTATTTGCTGCTGCTATGTGCTAATTCTGCCTGCAATCAATAAAGTCTCATTTTTCTTATCTCATACAGGTGCTTCCTTTTCACAATAACTTGTGGAAAACCTTTCTGCACCGGTGAACTGAAGCCCTTTCTCATTTGATCTGTTCCTTCTTGGAAAAGTTGAAGCTAGCTCAACCTGCTCAAATCCTCCGACAAGGAGTTAAAATCGGGTGAATGCAAGTCAGAGAAAATCATGTCGAATAAAGCAGCAGATGGGTCTAGCATGTCTCCCCTCTGAAATGGAAAAAGGTCACTTTGCCCTAATCATGGGTGCTCACCTGAGCCCTTTCACAACTCACAGACCCTCTCTCCTACAGTACAGATGGCTGCGGAGACCATAACCCCACCTCTGTGTTATCCCACTGGATATAATGCAGATCTTTCTCCTGTTTTTCTATTCCACCAGGAAACCATGACCCTTAGGTCTTTCTCCTGTTTTTCTATTCCACCAGGAAACCCATGACCCGTAGGTCATGGGTTTCCTGTGAGTTCAATGCATCCACACCTGGGTTTTTCTTTTTATCTATTTTACCTGTCTCAACAGCTGTAGTGCTGACTTGTCTGTCGGCTCAAATGGACATCAACAGCAGTGACGTTACACTATCAAAGGGCTAAGTGTCATCAAGGTGGTGTGGACATGCTTTTCAGACTCGGAGCAAACCATTCAGCAACACATTAAGCCTTGCTTAATGCAGGGAATGCTGACCGAAGCCAACCTCGATCACAGCATATAGTAACTACTTTATTTAGACTGAAGCTTCTATCTCAAACACCACACTCTGCTAAATGCAACAATCTACGATTTTGCTAGTTTAACGTTTAAAGAATACTTAAAAACATTATGAACAACGCAATCAATAGTGTTTCTCCTCGATTTGAAGCTTCAACTCTTTTTCTACTTTATCAAAGTAAACCATCCACTCTTACCCAAACTGAATCACTTCTTGTGCACCACAGATTTTTTTTACCACAGATAGACCTGTGCCACACTGGTGGTTAAGAAAGTAAAAGTAAAACATTTTATCAACAATGTAGAAGTTGTGCGAGCTCAGCTGGTGTCAACCTCCTATGCTCAACTCTGCATCTTTAAATACAGCAAAGCCCTCAATACATCTGTCTTCCCACATTTAAGAACATCTCCAGACTCTTCTCATCACTTTCTCACTTGAGTTGTTGAAACTTTTCCTCTATGTTTTAATTAGATCCCACTTTGATGGTTCTGGGAATAGGAAACGCAGGTCCCCAGCACACACAGAGTCAAACTTCAGCTACTCATCATATCTCAACTAAAGTGAATGCAACTGGCTGTAGACTAATGCAATCATCTGTATATCTTAAAATCATTAAACCGTTTCCTTCAAGCTTAGGAACCACAAGGACTGGCGTCGTCCATCAGCCATGCTTTATCCCCCTTAATAACGTCTGACAAGAATTCCCAGGCAACAAAAAGTGAATTAATGAATTCCGCATGCAGCAGCAACCTCTACATGATTATTAAGTCACATTCACATGCAGGATTTATTACTTAGTGACAGTTAAATTCCTAAGGGGGCAAAGCCAAAGCTGTAGTTTGAGTACAGATGTTTAAAGTGAACCTTGTTTCAGTGGGCTTGTTTTTGCTCTTGGATTACAACACTGATTCTCAACCTGCGGGCTCACAAATGTTCTTAGCAGGGGGTGGTGATGATAAAAAACCGTACAAATTTATTATTACATTTTGGGGAGTAATACTTTCTCAAGTCAAACTATGAATATTTACATCTTATACGTTTCACCTCATATTTAATTATGTAAAATATCCTAAAAATAATCACCGTTCTGTGCTTTTACGCCGTGTGTTTGCAGCACTGCAGCCGCTGCTTTGTTTCAGAGGGTCACAAGCAGGAAAGGTTGAAAAAACACTGGCTTATAATGTGAATTGCATTAAAATAAACTCATAATTCACATAATGAAAAATCAGCATTCATATTTATTGTATTGTTTATTGTGTTGTTTGGGGTTATATGTTGACTTACACTAGTGATTACAATTATTATCTCTCCTTTTATTTTAGTTATTTGAAAGTAACTGATTCCAGAGCTTCTCCTCTGAAAGTTGGTAACATTTCTAGTAGTTTGCTTTAGGGTACAGAAGTCCTAAGTCTGTCTTTGACATGGTTCTGATAATGCAACACAGCCACACACTTCACTAGAAAACAGAGCAGTCTTTCAAATTAACAAATTATTTCTCTGATGCAGAGCATGTGGAGTCCCTTTCGTGATGACATTGGAGAGGCTTTTATCCTAACCAAGCACCTTTAGCAGTGTAAAATGTTAAACTAATGTAGTGACTGAAAAAAATGTATTGACTGAAATTACACCCATTTTTGCATTTTAATTACACTGCAGATGGTAAAGTTTCACATTCAAAATCTTCAAATTATACTGGAAACTTTAGTGAGCTCTGAATAATATTTATAATTTGAATATGAAATCCAGTATAACTAATGCAGGACCTGTGGCAGTTTCTGCCTCAGTTTCTTTAGAAAGCAAGAGAATGTTCTGTAATGTAAGCATCTTGAATTTCAAGGTCCTCAAAGGCCTCTCTCATACAGCTTCTGGATATAAAGTATATCATTATTATATTATTTCTGAGAAGTTTTTAAAAAACATTCCACAGTCTGAATGTCATGTCGTTGAGATTCCTAGATGCAACAGGAAGCTGCAAAGATTATTTTTAAGTGACAGTACACTAAATAAAAGCTTCCATTTGCTGTTTATTCAACAAAAATTTGAATTTGCTCAAGTGAAGCACCAGACCCACTGTGACATTTGTGTTTTTGCACATGTGTCATCATGCTTGTGCTACAGAGGGTGTTTGGCTGAGGACCTACCTCCCATGAGATGACCAGTTCATGCCTGCGGCCATTCCCTCCACTAACATTTGCGGGTGCCACTGATGGGACTGTGTGAAACAGAAAAAGGTTAACACTGCATCACTGACCAAACACTACAAACTCACTTCAACATGTTTTTGAAAACCAAAGAAAAGATGAAAACACAGAAAAAAAAAAAATGTAGTTTAGATTGAACTGATTTTGACTGATAACTACAGCGTTCATAATAATGACTAAAATGCATTTTGTGTGTGTGATCGTAACAGAAAACAAGATCGCTGTTGCAACGATGTGTGTTAAAATGTTACTGAAGTAAACAAAAACCTTTAACAGCACCAGAAAACATTAAAAACTGGGTTAGTGTGTAGTGTTTGTGTCTGCATTAAAAACACCCGTCAATCAAACTGAAAATGATAGCAGGTTCCAGCGCGGTGTTTTGAATTTCTTGGCATTTGGATCATGGATTGTAACTTTAAGGATGGATTAACACAACTGTGTGTTGATACAGTAATTAGTCTGTTAATTATGCTGAAGCGATAGGACAGATTAAATAAGCCACTTCCAAATGACCACTGACCTTTGTAATTATTACGTTTTATGGACGAGAAATGAGCAGTAAGTGAAGTGGAACGCTTGATCCAGACTGTCTCAGTGAATTTCTGCTCGCCATAAATAGTGTATTCTGCTGTGTCTTTGCCTCAGGGTGTTTAAGGACTGGCTGCTTTAGCTGAAAACACGGAACTTGTTGGAATTCATGTAAGCTGCTTATTTTCAACTTCTTGCCCAATTAAAATTGAGAATATTAACAATGGCTATATAACGTGGTCATGAAGTGCACATCAAGTCATCGGCTGGGATATGCACTCAATAAGTTGCTGGACTTTGGGTGATTACTGATGTCTGTCAAAATGTGACTTGAATCTAGTTTATTTCCAGCACCGACGGCTTAAAGGATTTACCTGCTTCTTTAGTCCTTACTCCTCTTGAAGGTGCACTGGGATCTCCAGTCCCAATTGCATTGCTGGCCACCACCCTGAACTCATATTCCACCCAGGGGTTGAGCTCCACAGCAATGGCTGACTCCATGTCCCCTGTCACTGGGTCTGGGTCTGCACACAAGAGTGTTGCTCGTGTATTTATCTATTCAGGACAAGCAGCACATTACAACTACTGCAGTTTTCTTCACCTTGTGAACAATATGTAAGACACTCAGTGGCAACTTTCATCTTGAGGGGTGTCTGACAGTGTTCAGATCCACACCGGGTGTTGAACAGTGAAGTGAAGAATCATAGACTTTTTAAAAACAAACTCCCCTAAATAACAATGCAGCAGGAAAACAACATACAGACAACACAGCCATGGAGTTTTCTAGGCTGAACATTCAAAAGTTCCTTGCTGGCCAAGGCAGTCACCTGACCTCAAACAACTGAGGAGGTGTTTCACAGCTAAAGGCCAGGCTGGAAAAAAGCAGGAAGTGGCTATGGCTGCAGTACAGGCCTGGCAAAACATCACTGTGGAACATAAATGCTGATGTCTGTGGGTCATGGCCGACGGTCAGTCATTAACTAAAGAGGATTATATATGATTAAATATGATGACTTTATATGATGATGTCAAGATTGTGTTAACTTTCTGTTCTCTGAAATTGGGAGATAATTGGGAGATAATTCCTAAGAGCTGAGATTTGACACTTCAACCTCACAGCCATTGTTTCATTTCAGATCCAATGTGCTAGAGTACAGAGCCAAAAAAGCAAAACAAATGTAACATTGTCTTCATTCTTATGGACTGCACAGTATTACACCTCCCATCCAGATTCACTGTGATTTGGCATATTTTTTTACAGCGGGTGGTGATGATACACAGTTTTCTTGAAACCTAGTGCATGATGTTTTGATGCCTTTGAGAGCTATGTAATTATAAATCGCATCCTGTGACTGAAAAAAAAAACCTATGAATGTATTTTGAACTGAATTACAAGCAGGTAACACAACTAATCTGGTTTCTTCAGGGCTGCCATAATCAAGCTTTGTCAATATTGATCCTGCAACAACAAACAAACATTGACTGAAAGCATATCCATGTCATAAATGAACCAGAGGTCTCTCTATACTAACTAAAGCAACATTCAGTGAAGCAGTGAAGCTTACATTCTTATCATCCGGAGCAGCTCACAATGAGACCACTCTGTCAAGCAAGCTGCTCTTCAAACATGAGCCGATAACTATGTTTGCAAGGAGTGGGAGTTAAAAGCCCAATCCCCTTTATGCTAATCTTAACAAGTTCAACACTGACAATACATCACAGACTCCTAATTGTGCTTTATCAAATTAAATGTGGTTGAACAGGCTTGATATGAGAGGAATGTATACAAAGTATGATTTATATATCTGTGGGGATGAATCATTATCACACCTTCAACTCTGCTTTTATTACCACATGGCATATTAAGATGAATTACACACAATGCTTAGCAAGAATTCATCCTTTAATACTAAGTGATAGTAATTAATGGTTTTTCTGTCAAGGTACAGAAAAAGGAGCTATTTCGTTTTTAAGCAGCAGAAGTGCATTTATACTAAATGAACATGGATAAGTGTTATAATTCAAGCCCAAAAGGTTAATTTCCCCACTAACTGCTGATATGACACCGAATAAAATTCAAACCAATGACATTTGATATAAGCTCAAATTACTTTTTGCTAAGCTCCTCTGAACAACAGCCAAGTTCAAACGTTAAACGACAGAATTGGAAATTTCAACTTCTTAAACAGGCGTCTGAGAATAAAGCCTCAGTTAGAGTTTTGTCCAGAGCCAGTGTACAACACTCGACCCGTTACTTTATCGATGAGATTTAAAAGTCTGATTGCGTTAATATGTAAAAGTAAATTGCCATAACAATTTTTAATTATGTTACTTGAAAACAGTAACCTTGTTCTAGTTGGGCTGATTCACTATCTCTGCACATGACTTTGGGCAGGATTAAGGCCTTTATATGGCCCCACATTAACCTCCCAGAACTAGGGGCTGCAATTTGCTCCTTATTGATTACCTGTTTTGACAGTTTGCCAGCCTAATGAAAATGGGCTGCGGGCCTGTAAATTATAGGTGCTGATAGGGCTGTGGTTGTCTAGGCCACGAGTCCAGGACAGGGTGGCTGTGGTATCTGTGATCTCCTCCACTATCACCACTCCAGGGGGTCCAGGAGGACCTAAAAAAAAAGGATAGGAGACACAAATTAAATTGCAGGTTTGAAACGTTGAACCACCACAGCATCAAATATGTCAAGACAGAAGGGAAAAACAAAAACAACCTCTGCTGCCGTTTGAATGAATTCTAAACTGGTCCATATTGTGATGTCTTCATCATGCATAGTCTCTATTAGATACACTGATGCATGCAACCATGCAAGCATTAAAAAGGATGTGCAGCTGTGTGCATGTGGTGACAATATCAATTCCCTGTTGTAATCTTTGCACAAACAAACAACAGACAAAAACACGACATACTAAACTGAACCAGGATTCGGGCTGACACAGATCTGCTGCCAAGGATTTCATGCTGATTAAGGGATATTGAAGCTTTCTTTTTTGGGGCTTCGGAGGCAGTTTGCCAGTTCTGCTGTGCATGACTGTGTGCTAGACCTTCCTGTGTTTTAATACAGCTGAACATATGTTTACCTTAGTCTTCAGAAGTAAATGTAATCTGCAAGTGCAGCAAACGTCTAAGGACTCTGGGGGGAACAGCTGTAAATGAAAAGCTGGCAGCTGGTACACTCAATGAAAACCAATCTACTGTGTCTCCAAAAAGTGCCCATTAGAAGGTTATGCTGAAAGGTGCATTTGCATTTCCGGACATTAAGATGCATTTTGTGTCACTATAGGAACAGTGAGCACCAACACCATCGCATAAACCCTCCCCTGTAGCAGTGCTTGATGTTGAATGACAATAATTAAATACATCAATACTATAGTGGAGATGGGTGATAAGGCTGAAATACATATTTTTTTCTGATATAGATGTATAAAATGATATGGCAAAACCACCCCAAATACCTCACTTAAATTTGTCCTTCACAATTTCTTTGGCAACAGAATTTCTGTAAAGCGATAACACTATACCTACCAACCTTACCCAACGCCCCGCCTTCACACAACTCCACTGAAACTCAATTATAATACTATAATAGTGAATTATTGCCCACCCAAACCAAACTCAATTTAGCTTTCGCTGGATGTCGGGTCCTAAAATGTAAGTGCTTGCCATCTCACAGGAAACCCTCCTTGGGCTAGGAAACATGAATAAAGGCTCACATGCTAAATGGCTGCATCACAGCCTTAAAACATGTATTACTGTGTCATCCTAAGGAAGTCAAAAACAGACCACAAGCTGCTTGGACAATAATCGTTACGTTACATTATCAGCAACATTCAGAAACTGCCACAGAATCTGATCACTAGACATTCAGCCAATCTGTTTAACAGCTCAATTAAACTTGTTCATGCAGACAGACCGTCTGTACAGCCACATTCATGGTGACCATAAAAAATTAGCCAAGATGATCAAAAGGAGGCAATAACGTGGAAACAGTCATTGTGCGATTGTGTCCACCGGGAGCAAATTTCGAATGTCTAATTAACCAACTTCTGAGACCTGCTGCACTGGAAGCAAATCTGTGGCTAATTTCCTGGATTCACTGAAAATGCTAACATTATTTCACAGTATTGCCAAGTGCTTTAAAGGACAGGAACGCAAATTTTTAATCTATAATAAAACATTAGTTAGGTACCCACATGTACACTGATCATTCCTCCTGTTCCTGCTCAAAACTAGTCGTTCTTTCTCAGTGTGTCTCAGTGTCCAGGAATAAACTTTCCAATAATAATTCAGCATTCTATTCGAGGGTGGTGGTTCAGTTCAGGGGGGTCAGTGAGTCGCTACGTCCGGTAAAGAGTGTACAAGACATCACATAGTACTGGTGCACTGACAGGTAACAAGCTCACCTCGCACAAGAAGTTCAGCCTCTGCAAATACAGTGTCAGCACTGGTCTGGGCCCGACATCCGTACTTCCCAGCATGCTTCAACAAAATGCTCCTAATCATCAGATCCACTGTTGAAGACTGCTGCAATTGGTAAAGCAAAGCATAAAAAAGTTAGGTATTAAGAAGAGTAAAGAGTAAATGTGCTTGACACGAAAAAAAGCGTGATTCCTTTACATCTTGTAGAGGCTCATGTGGTTTGAGAGATTTCTGTTTAATTCAGGTGCTCGCTTCCTGCTACATTCTTTAGCTACCCTTATTTTCTCTCTGTTGAAATGAGAAATGCCTCAGGCAAGACTGGGAATAATTCAAGGTCTACAGGCAGCTGTTTAGCACGAAACCTGATTAAAATTACAAACCATGCATCAGCCAGGAATCTGTTGTGCCTGTAAAGGATTGTCACTGCAAATACTTTCCCTCCAGAGTATGGGTAGCAGCAGAGGACACATCAGGACAGATGTGATTTTAACATCCACTGTTGATAGAGGAATAGTGACATAAACAGGACTCCCTGCTCTCTTGCAAATTTGTTTTTAACTTCATTTTATGGTTGAGACACTAATGATTTTTTTTGTATTATGGAGAGGGGAAATCTCAGATGTTACTTAGTAAAAATATGACACTAAATTAATACAAAAAGGTTATTCCAGTGTGCGACATGAAGAGTAATATCCAAAACTTTGTTTTAAGTTGAGTTTACTTCTTATGATACAAAATGATGCATCTAAAAATAGATACACTGAAAAAGAGTAAACTGACCGTTTCAATTCACTTAAACACTTGATGATTAGTGTGTATAAGAGTGTTGTTCTACAGTAACCTTTTCTTTTCTGATGGTCTCTGTTGTTGATTCTCTGTTTCCCATGGATAACTCATCTGAACCGACCAGTGTGGTATATCTCTTATAAATATGCACAATGCACAATGGACAGTGTATATTTTGCTGAACACAATACCACTGTACACCAAATATGGTTAACCAGGGTAAAAATTACGACTTGTAATTAGGAATAAGTAAAATATAGATTTCATAATGGAGCCTACAAAAAAAAAGGTTAAAAAGTCAAAAGTGAAATGGCAAGGTTAACAATGCAACCTCGATGTTGAGGAGAGGCATAGGTTAAATGCCTCCCTGTTTGTGTATATTTTCATTTTCATTTGGAGAATTTATCCGACATCTTTCCCTGAGGATCCTCGACCCTGCATCCTTTGACCTTTTCTAGATGTCTTCAGTCAAACGGAGAGACAAACAAACAGAAACAACAAACCCAATTAGGCTCTTATTTTTTCAGAAGGGGCCTTACTACTGCGCAGTTGTTGTGAATGGATTTGTAACCATATTTATTACAAAGCCATAATTTGATAAGAAAGATGATGGTAGACCGTGTTACACATCTACAAAAGCCATAATACGCATTAAGAGATAGAAATATTCACCATGTTTCATATCTATTATTTCTCGTCTCCATCATTATTCAGTCTCTAGTTGTGTGTTTATTTTCACGAAAAGATACAATTTCACAGGTGCAAATCAAAACAACAGACTTTACTTTGATATACAGTATATGATTGCGTAATTCAATGGAGATCTTTGATGATACCTGGGGTAGTCAGCCTTTACTGAAACTGATTCTGATTTTCACCTATAGCAAGTGTTTGGTGCAATAAGTAGTAAAAAAATAATGAACATAAAGAGGCAACATAAAGTCAATTAAACAGATGAACAATTATACAGAGACAGAGTTGCAACAGAGACAGACAGACAGACAGACAGACAGACAGACAGACAGACAGACAGACAGAGACAGAGACAGACAGACAGACAGAGACAGACAGAGACAGACAGACAGACAGACAGACAGACAGACAGAGACAGACAGAGACAGACAGACAGACAGAGACAGACAGACAGACAGACAGACAGACAGACAGACAGACAGACAGACAGACAGACAGACAGACAGACAGACAGAGACAGACAGAGACAGACAGACAGACAGACAGACAGACAGACAGACAGACAGACAGACAGACAGACAGACAGATAGATACTCTTTATCCTATTTTTGCTCTTACTCTCACTCTTACTGTTTGGATGTATTCAAAGTGGCCGCCATCCTGCTGAAAGTTGATTGGTCTCTGGTTGAAAAACCATTGAAAAGCCACATCCAGCGACGAGTCATGTGTTGCCTTGCAGCTCAGCACCACGCTCTCCCCCACTGTCACCTCCACTCTGATTGGGCTAAGCTCCACACGCATGGCCTCTGGAAGCACAAAGCTGCTGCACTGTCACCTCAGGCTAACCCAGAGCAGCTGCATTTGAGTGTGACATCACTGCCAGAGCAATCATGAAAAACCCAGCCCTAACCTGGGAAACAACACTCACTTTTGTCAGTTAAATATCCTGCTTAGCTCTGATCTAGACTGTGCACAGTGCATCTGTGAGACAGAGGTCTTTACAATGTTAAAGTGTGTCCTTGTAATATGATTCTTGAATGCGAGAGCGCTTGGTTCACGGTTGAGCAAGCACGATAAATTTCCTGGCACCCGAGCAAAAGTGGGAGGAAAAAATGACATTGGGGACTGTTTACTAGTGGCCGACTTGTGCTAATTTGGCAGAAAATAAAGGCCCCCAGGGCATCACTTACCTTTTACCCACAGTATGGCAGTCATCTCTGCTGAGCCCAACTGATTCTCTGCCCGACACACATAGCTCCCCTCATCCGCTCGGCTGGAGTTAACAATTCTCAGGGTGTTGTTCCGTAACAACATAATCCTGTGAGAAAGGACACAAAAATCAATACTGGTATGAGAAACAAATTCACGTACGAACAGTTGCACTACAAGTTCAGGCATGAGGTTATGTGTTTGTGGTTGTGTCGGGTTACAAGAATAGCAATATTCACTGGGGATGAGAATAAAAAAAAAACTTAAAACAAACTGCTCAGATATTCTTGAAATAATCATCCACAAGAGATTCCAGTGGAAAATATAAAATAATATTATGTTTACAGCTAACAAGTTATTATCACTGAATTGAAGGACAAAAAGCATCTGACAGTAAGTTGTTTGTGTTATGAAAAAGCTCAGAGGAATGAGACATGTGAAGTCAAGAACAGTGTTTGTATTTGTTGTGTAACCTTCAACAAGCAAACATGGAGGTAAACCTTTTTCAGTAAAGAGCAATCAACAATTTAAATGTGATAACGAATGTGATTTGCAGATACCACTGAGTAGCCATATCTTGAACAGGATTAAAACACATGGTATTAAAGACACAAACCAAAGCATTGCTATAAGGAGCAAAAAAAAACAAAAAACAAAACAAAGTATTCATCTGACTTTCAATGTGGGTACAATGATGCACAATATCTTGTCTTGTGCCTTTACAAGAACACAACAGGCAGCCATTTGCGTAATTACAGTATAATTTAGAATTGATTAAAGGAAAATCTCAGAACATTTGTGGAGAACAGTACACAACATGAAATAAAATAGATGTTATGATTCTTTCTTCCTCTGCATCAATATTTCCATAAATCTAAATAAATGTTGCATTCATCATTCACAGTGCTCATGAATCCACCTGACAAACCTTAAGTACTGCTACATTCACTGAATCTAAAGCAAAAATCTGTCAAACCACACTATGCACATCGCCGAGCTGTCGTCCTGGGGAACACAAGTGTAATAGAGAGAAAAAACAACTCCACGTCTGCATTCATAAGTAGCCCCTTATCCAGCTGAAGGACACTAACAATATGGTATTAACAGTTTGCTCTGACTTGTAAATAACAGCTGGAGAATTAAGCGCTTGACATTACATAGTAGAGGATGTAAATGTATCCAACAACACTGGAAGCAGGTGTGTGAGCAGACGGCTGCAGAGCAGGAATCATGTGAAAATATAGCATTGTGAGTTATGTTAAAGGACTGCTTTCCCCTCAGTGTCCAATGCAAACCACTGTTATTCAAAATATATATAATTATATAACATTTGATTTCAGCATGGCCTACAGAGGTGGGGATGCATATTTACAAAGTTATATTTTTCTTATTCCAAAAACAATTTAATCCCAAATCAAACAATCAAAACAATGGGAGGGGTGTGAGGTATTCTTGTCTTTTAATTGAATTCATTTTGGTTGGCATTTATATTTATTTATACTTACACTAAGCTCTTTCATCATGGGCGAGGTGATTGAAATTGGCAAAGAGAAACTCATGAAGGCGTGACAAAATCTTGCCACACATAGACAATTCAGAAGCAATCTGCAGCCAGGAGACATTTTTCAAATTAGGGAGGAAATTCACATCCGACAAGGACACTGAGGCAGAAAGGACAAGATAGGGACTGTTGGGTATACAGAATATGCAAATCAATTCAACCTTAGGAAATTTAGGGGAAACATTAGAAGATCACAGCAAACCTATAGCATTTAAAAATATATATGTTTTAACCTGAAGCAAGGTTTCAAACTGACTGCTCCCGAATGCTCATTATTTATATATAAAATCATTCATCAATAATGGATTTGAAAACCTTTCACAATTTTTATATTTAAAAATTGCCAAATATGCATCTACTTACTGTCTTAAACAAAGGGTCTGTGGGTTTCAATTGAGTCTGCCACGTACTTTCATACTAATGGGATTAATACTTTCTATTTAAGAGACAAAAGCCCTGAACATTAGCGGAAATCCATGTTAATTACAAACCTTCATTAAGTCAGCACAGCTGTCAATGCCAGATAAACGTGAAGCTGTTTCGATTCCTTCTCTGTTCTTCCAAGAATAGAACGTCTCTCCATCCATAAACTCTTTACTTTACTATAGGTAATGGCAGAAAATCCTTGCAGGAGTCACCCTGGCCAAGACCTGAAAACACATGACTCCTCTTGTTTATTTTGGCTTTTTTAGATAGAAATCACCCTTTCACAAGGTTGATCTCCAGTTGAGCGGTGACCACCCCGCCCCGCCTAAAAACACTATCTTATCCAGTTCGTTAATTCACTATAGTACTGTTAAGTTGCAACAAACATCCTATTAGAGTATCAAACTCTAATTGGATTTGAGTTTTCGATTATAAAAAGCACTTGGTATAAGACCTTGAGAGGAATCTGTGAGGAAAGTTACAATTACTGATTGCAGAAATTATTTAAGATCATGAAGAAAATGAACCACATCCATATATAATGCAAACACTTAATAGTGAATGATGAATTAAGCTGACGGGAGAGATTAACTAGCTGCTTTGCCAATATTTTTTCTGAACAATTGTCTGCTCTCCTAAGACACGACTTCGGTCAGATAAAGTCAGATAAAAACAAGATCAGGGCGTTGGAACAGGTATGAATTTCACCGTCGTGTACGTCGCCACTGAAAAATAGATTTGTAAGGGTTTGACAAATACCTCAAAGGCTTTATCAGATCCAGACAAGTCAGGGCCATTAATCACCATTTTAGGACAATACACTCACTAACTTATCCCCATCCATCAGTTCCACTGGAGCCAGCTCTTTTAGAGAAAATAGAAAATTACCTCTGAGGACCATTTTCCTTTCAATGGGAAATTAAATATTTTGCAGATTTGCACCAGTCTCTGAAATTACCATGTTGAACTAATTCCTGAACACTCTCCTTCTTTCCACCTGTTAAAGGTATTAAGATTTGTCGCTGCCTGTTTGAAGGAGCGACACACTGCGGATCTGATTATCAACTGGATGCCCTTGCTGCAAGGCTGTTGAACAGACTGCTGAATCTTGGCTGATAAACAGAGGACCCATTCTCTCACTCAAAACTCAGGATGCTCAGCAGTGACTGATAATTTTTGTGGTGTCGCTCAGTTTGATTGATGGACCCTCGCCCTGCTCAACCCCCTCTAGGTACCACAGAGAGATGTTTCTCATAAAAGATGATGTATCAAACTGCATGTGAATTCCAAATGCAATTGTACAGTCTAAATTGTCAGCATCCGTGAGAAGGAGGTGGGGTTGAGTATGCGTCCCCGGAGCTTTGCCAGTACCTTAGGTGTTTTATTTTAGCAGTGACACTTAATTTCAGTTACAGTAATGAAACTGTGATGTGTTACAACGAGACATGTATACAATTCCTCAAAGGCCTGAGCCAGAATGCTAACACTTGAATTTATGCCATGAAACTATGACGAAAAACAATATAGAGATATTGAGGGGACAAACTTTTCATGACTTCATACATATTTTACAGGGCAATTAACTTTCTCTCACAATATTCTCTTCTCTAAACTGTGCAGAAGAAAAAAATCTGGTACTATTTATAACTAAGAGCCAGTAAATCCACCCCTGCCTTCAAAGAAAATGTATACAATCTATCCCAGTGGTAACAGCAAAAATGGATCCTTTGTGTGTATGTCTAAAATTCTGAACCATGGCCTCTGCTGTTTTGGATGCACAATAAAGGACTAAAGGCAGATCACTATTTCAGTGATCTTTCCTGATACAATATCATTTTGTATGCATGTTTTACACGTCTCCCTTTCTTTTCAATACCACACATTGTACCAGCACAAAGGCATAGGTGTTATGACAGTATAATTGTGCAATTCTAAAGATGTGTCAAACAGTAGAGATCTACTATACTGTTTCTACTAAACGATTTATCTCTGGCTTTATTAGGCCAATGATGACGATGTTGCAAATCAGTGACCAGGAAAGCTTTATGGCACCAATGTGTGTCATATACTTAACTCACTACTTTAGCCCAATCAGACATTTCCATCTGGATATTTTATCTATAAATGTTGTTTTTTTTTTTCCAATTTAAAAAATAAATAAATGACTGTATCACAATATTCAGTATGCTGCTATGAACTAAGTATGTGTTGTTATGAATATGTGCTGAAAAGAAGACTTTATATTGGGTTAAGGTTTGAACACCTGCACTGCTGAAGTGTCCTTGAGAAGAACACCGGATTCTTACCAGCTTTGGGGCTCCTACAAACTGCATGTAAATGGACAATCTTACAGAGATCAACAACTCAGTGTAGTTCAAATTTCTTATAGCAATACATTATAACTGACAGATCAAAATGAGATAATCCAGTAAGTAAATAGCTACTTCTATTTGAGAGTGAAACATGATGCATGTAAATTGCTGCTGTACCTTTTATTTGGCTGTATCCTTCTGTCTCCTCTCTTCCATGTTATCCGTGGTTTGGGCGACGCTCTGGGTTTGCATTCGATTGATACGTCTTTTCCAAGCGTGGCGATGACCCGGATGGGATTGGGGACAAAAACAGGTGCCGATGCTGTGTAAGAAAAACACACAACATTTTAGGATGTATTAAAAAATAGATAAATTCAGAAAAAAATCTAGACCATCTTGTGATGGAATGACACCAGCTCCAACACCCATCAACAGCTGATGCTGAGTCATGTGTACTCATCTAATGAGAATCATTGCGAATGCAAAAAATGTGGCTCTCCTTCTTCTCTCAGATCTCAGCATCAGTACAATTTTAACTGACAGACTTCAGAAATGGGTGGGTCTCTCTGACTGTGTATTAGCTTGGTTTCAATCTTATTTAACTGGTGGACAGTCTTTTGTCAGACTAGGTGCTCATACAGTATATCTGATACTTACGCTATTCAACATGGTATTCCTCAAGGGAGCATTCTTGGCCCCATTTTATTTTCACCATATATGTTCCCACTGGGAAACATTATCAACCATCACCATGTCAATTACCAGTTTTATCCTGATGATATACAATTGTACATCTGTTTCGCCAAATGACCCCAATGCACGGCATGCTCTTATTTCTTGTCTCACAGACATTAATGTATGGATGGGCAAAAACTAAATACAAAAAAAACCCCTGAGATTCTTATAATAGGAACAATAGCAGCCGGCTAATAAAAGTCGTATCATGGTCAACACACTAATATTCATATTGTAAGTGATTAATTATTTCCAAAGCCCTGTGCCTCACACAAGGTAAGGTGTGTGCTACCAGCTCGATGGAAAATGAGAATTCTCATGTTGCTCTATGTCCGCTGAATGGCACATCTATCGCCAAAACTTGACTAACTTATTTCCGTGAGTGAAATTTTCTGCCCCCTAGTGATAAAAAAACAAAACAAAAAACAGCTCACTTAATGCACTTTCAATCACTGTGTGGTTGCTAAAATGTAACAATTATAGATGTCATATGCATTCCACCTCATCAACTGTGGCATTTCAAAGTAATTATTTAAAAAATGCTACAGGGTTAGTATGACACATCATGAGTCAAAGCAAGGCTTGATCAAAATACTTATTTTTTTCACAGTAATAACTTGATTTTCCACAAGGTACAAAGCATGCTATTATTCATATACTGTATAATGTACCATACTTTGTCTTACGGTAATTCTGTGCTAATTCAGTATCCACTACAGTTATATAAATACACACTGTGTTGTGTTTTGAAGCCTAATTACTAAATAACTGTCATCATGTTACTGATTTGAACTGCTTATAGGAAAATTGTTTTTAACCCATATTTAACCAGGCTGCCTGAGTGAATAATAAATGCTAATATAAACCTTTTTAACAATTATGGGTTGCTCATGAAAACAAATAAAGCAGTAATGGTCTAAATAAGGCTTAAGGCATTAAAGTTGGTGTGCTACTGGTATAGAGTTGTATTACACATCAAGGCCATCTACTGGCTGCAAGGCTTTGTCAGCTGTGATTATTCAAATCCTGAGTGATGCTTTATACGTGACATTATAGACAATGACAATTCAATCCCATCTGTAGCTAAAGGCTGACCCCTCTCCCGGTAACACTTGTGTCTTTGAGCCTGAGTAGTTGCCTGAGTGGCAGAGGTCCCTCTAGACAGGGAAAGCAGCAGAAAACAGAGCAGTTGCTGTGAGTATTTGTTTTAATCAAAATAAGAGCAGGCCTGCAGCTGGTAGCAGCGGTACCCTTATTGCTTCACCCACTACCCTCCCAGAAGAGCTGGATCTGGGACAAGATCACAGGCATGAGGGCAGCCACTGCCCCCATGTAGCCTCCAGTGATCGCTCATCTTCAGCCTGTTATTAGCCATGTAATCTGTCCTGATAGTGTTTGCTTGTGGACATCTCCAGAGAGCACAGGTCACTGGGATGAGATGCCTGGGGGGTATAGTTATGAAAACATTCATCACCGGCTTCAAAATATCATCATTGTGACTATGACTCTAAGAAAGGCAAAAGCACCTCCTCCTCAGCTCAGATAAAGCTTATTAAATCTATAACTTTTGACTCTTGCAGACAACACAGTGAATTATAGTCAACTAAACAGTGGTCGTTGTACACAGATTTTAAACTGATGGTTTAGGAAAAAACATCAGTTACTGCAAATGGACAAAAAACTTTGTCCATTTCCAGTAAGATTTTCCAAATGCCACAGATTCCCTTCAAAAAAGGGCATGCCACACAGACAGTAAATCAAACTGTCCCTCAGGGAAACACAAAAGGGGAATGGGTGTCACCAGATGTGTCCCAGTATAGAGGATGACAAGGAGAAAATAGTGCATCAACACAGAACAGTGAACAGCCATTCAGTATGACTATTGTGTTTAGCCTGAAGCCTTAAAGGCTGAAGAACACACTTTCCTTGACTTTTAATGTCCTTAAATTTCCAAGTACATGTTATGCATATCCTGCTTCGTACAAAAAAGAAGTAGTTGTTTCAAATCAATGGCAAATTTGTACAATCTGAGTTGGAAATGGTGGATAATAATCATTTATTATACAATGACAATAGCACTGACTAATAAATATCTTATGAAAGTCATGTCCAAAGTGAAGGTTTGTTTTCTCTAAGTAATGCAGATTGCAATGTAGTCTGTGCTTTGATGACAAACAATAGAACGGAGATAAGACCCTAATGGAGTCATTAAACTCCATCAAAGAAACCATTGATGTCTCTCTTCTAGTGTGTGCTCCCATTAGTATAAATCTATACCTACAAGTCATTGCTTTTCATTCTCCTCAGGATAATGTAGAACTGTTCAAGACTCCCCTCAGCTTGATGTGTGCAGACACCTCATTGAATATAACCATAAGTGTCCTTCTTTTATTCATGCCGTCCACTACCGGGGTTAAATCAGGGACCATTGATTGGCAATCAGCACATCTCACAGTTCAGTGTTCACCACTTGCATTTCAATCTCACCTTACCTATCAACTGGTACCTTATTCAGATGCTAATACTTGGTCTGCAATTTTATTCTTTGCAGAGTATCAAGAAATATGCCTGGCAAAGCACAAAACTTACCTCATAAAATTTACACAAATCAATTTTTCTTTTAATGTTTTGTTTAGTCAGATTTAAATTATAAACCAAATGTGTAAATACCTAAAATCTTCAGCTCAGCATTGGAGTAGATGGCCCCATACTTATTTTCTGCGACACACTGGTACATTCCTGAGTCCGCCTGCTGCACTTTGTGAATGGTCATATCTCCATTCACAATTTCAACTTGACCCTGTAATGAGAAAAACGTATAAAGAAAGCACATGCCTGGATGTAGATATACTATACATAATGCTGCACATAGTGGACATGTACTTTTATAGGAATAATTCAGATGTTTCATGGTGTAATCAACAAAAGAAGAGGGCACTGTGTAGTGAGGAGGGTACCTGGGATGTCAAGGGCAAACCATTACGAAGCCAGCGATAGGTGGGCCGGGGTCTCCCTGTGGCCTTGCACTCCCATTGGAGCTTCTCTCCACTATCCATCTGAGTATCATTAATCATTCTGACCCACTGAGGAAAGGCTTTAAGAAAAAAAGATTTAAGAATAAGTAATATATCCTTGAAACACACACAAAGCACACAAGTATGGCTACCTATACTTAAGAGAAAGAGAAAGAATGGACATGGACAGTCAGCACAAAATATAAGAGGCCGTATTTAAAATAGTGGATGCAGTAATGTACTAAACCATTTTTTTGTAATCCCTTAATGCTACAGTCCTAAAAGAAGCAAAAATATACTTTAGGACATCAATAGAAAAAGTTGTGTTATTTATTTATTTTTTAAAACCAACTTGAGTACTCTGTTTGAACCTTTTGTATGACTTCCTTTTGGTGTACTGCCTTTTTATGTAACACATTTAGTTTTTTTCAGTCTTTTGAATATCTTTCTTAAGAATCCTTGAATCCTTAAACATCCTCGACACCCTGACATTCACTGCTTCTGTACTTTTGTCCACTGCAACACATATAAATCACACTTGTATGTCCAGACATACGACATCCTCTGTTATGTTCTTCAACCCTGAAGAACTGAAAGCAAAAGCATCTGTATTCTAATGAGATAAGCTGGCTCACAAGTACAATAGACATCAACAAAAGGCAAACGAATCTTATTTTTTATTTAATTAAGTACAAAAACACATGGGGCTTGTTCTACAACCAGGATTGAGATTTGTTCGAGACCAAACTGGCCTTTTAAACCAGTTTATCAGTTTATCTCAGACTTGCTTTCTTAGACATGGTTGTGAGTTCAAGGTTTTGACTAGGCTTGAATTACCTGAACAGATTTCCTGGAAGAAGACTAAGTTATTCCATGGCTAAATTAATTCTAAAATTAAACCCCAAAGCAATCGGTTTTAACTTCTGATTAATTCTATCTGTGAGTGGAAATACATGGATTATTTTCACTTAGATTATTGTGTCTCTTCAAATGTTCAAGCTGTGATTATTTTGGTCCAAAAAACCCCTCTGTACCAGCACACCTCTAGTCAAGACTAGGGATGTCACAATACCAGAATTTTGGGATCAATGAAATTGCATGATTCTCAATACCAAATTGGAGTCCACAGCAGAAAACAGAAAGCAACAGAGGCACACAAGCACATGCACACACCTCCATATAGTCAGTGTGCAAGCAGTAGTTAAAATTGACTAACAAGGTGACAGACTCATTTAAAAAGTCAGTGTAACATTTTTAAACAGACTGACGGTAGCTTAGTAGTATTATAAGCACCCAGCTCACATTATGAGCTGTCGCTATGTTAGCCCAAAGAACTTAACGTTAGCCTTGGTGAACGTTGCTATAACAGATGCCAGCTGCTGTAATTCACAATCAATAACGGTAACATTTCATGAACATTTTGATGACACGTTAACGTCTGAAACCCACTCACCCTGAATCCTGTGTACAGACCTGGATGCCTGTCTTTAAGCTGCTTAGATAAGTTTGAGGTGTTTCCTCCTGTCATTTGAAATGTTCTGTGGCACTGTTTGGTATATCTTAATCATCTTTAACTTGTCCTTTATGATCCGTGTAAAAATACAAAATATCTCCAAGTTGTGGTTTTTTTTGCACAAGTCTCAGCGGACCTGTTGCTGCACCTGCACTTGCTTCTTCCATTCCACATATTGTTGTTTTGTTTACTGTGTCTCCTTCTCCTCTTCCAGTTGATGTCAGACTAGGATGCTTGTAGGGTTATTATACTGGCCTTGTCAGTCCTGGAAGAATCACATTTCCAGTACCTACCACATCTCCAGTACCTACGGTATTGAAGAAAAACAAGTAGAGAATTTTGGCATCGACTTGGTACCAAAATATCGCTTCTTGTGACATCCATAAGTCAAGACCAACATGAACCATCAACCAAACAAACAGTTACTGACAGAATCTAACTCTGTGAGATCGATTAAATCATATTCTGAGATGTTTTTTGCTAAGTGCAAAGAAAATACAGTGGGGATCTTTACTGATGGGGCCCAGAGTTACACGGTTGTCAGGAAGAGGAAAACCAGCCAGCCTCTCCTCTCCTCTCCTCTCAGATCACGTTCATGTTTTTGTATCATGTTCATGAATATGTTCTTTTCTCTCCTTCCATTGCATGGCTGGCCCGTGCCATAGGCAAACTAGGCAACTGCCTTTTCCTAGAGGCCCCTTAACCAAAAAATGCTTTTGAAGCTTTTTTTTTTTTTTTCTTTTTTCCACAGCCTCTAGTTGCTTGTTTCCAAGCTGCATACAGAGTTCCAGTCCAACTCCACAAGCTACAGAGAATATCTGTCACAGCTCTAGATCTGAACACTGTATAGGCTCTATGCACTTTCCCTTTATCTAGTAGTCTCCTTTTTTCTACTGGGTCTTACATGTCATTGGGCATTTTTCAAATTTTGTAGATTTACAAGAATATAAAATTCACAAGGACCTTTTACTGGGACAGGCTCATTCTGTCAGTCTTGTGTAAAGGAGGGAATGTTAATCGGTCAGTCACTAACCCAAGCTTTTTTCCTTGATTTCCTTTATTTGTACTGTTTGCTGTAATATGTTTTTACCCTCAAATGAGACTTTTTGGAAATGCACATGGTGACATCAATACATATGCAACAAACACCAATTTGTATTGTTTAGATAAAACTTCCACATACAGTAGATTTGACATGTTTTATCTTTGTTCTGTTTATACAATAAAACTATATATAATCCTTCCTTTTCAAACACAAATGATGTACATTGCATAGTAGAGTATTTATTGTACAGTGTGTGCACAAAAAAGAAAACTCTCTCATTGAATTGCTTTCCCTACAGTAACATACCAAACACATTCTTTGCTGTTCTTTGCATACAGCGCCTTCAGTAGAAAGCTTTTTTTTTGTGTGGTTTGATTGAATGATTATGGTCAGGAAGTTCTCGCTCACAATGAAAGTTCACACTACCAGCTGACCTGTGTAAATTACATTTAGCGTGAGCCTGCTACAAATTAGGCTCCCTATTCTCCTTGTGATGTCAACAGAATGGAGGTTGCCAAGAAGTGCAGGGCCTTGGAAATGTGTCCTACGAAGGCCGAGGCAGTCCATTATCTTGGTGCTGTGCACATGGCACAGACAGAGAAGAATGGAGGACGTGCATCCTCATAGATAAGTTTATGATCACAGGCAAAGGCAGTAATTCAACAAGCTTACTTGTAAATCACATTGGTTGAAAACTGTTCTTAACTGAGGTCCATCCTAAAGGTGATATGCAAACACTGCACATACTGTACATGACAGAAACCCACTATACACTGCATAATGAAAAATAAATGTGATCATTTATTGATTAAAGAAGAATTTATGTTTTTAGTTGATATTTGTGGTGATAAACATACATTTGGTAAAATAAGTAATAGTAGTGTATACTTGCATTGGATTTAAGCTGAGAATATTGCAATGTATGTATAGATACACTTTGGTCCTAATTATTGGTATTTGTAACAACAGTTTATATTATATAATTAATGAGTTATTCCAATCTGTTAAGTAACACTTGTGCTTTTGTCGTGACAAAAAACCATTAAAAACAGATGGAAACCTTATACCTATTATTTTATACACCTTATACCTTGGATGTATAAAACTACCAGAGAAAGAAAATCATGACAAAAGATCAAGATCTTTGAAAAACACAAAGAACAACTACAATCCATCAAAAATAACAACTAAAAAGAGAAATATTTCAGAGCATTTTTGCCTGTAACAAAACACACCTCACTGTTAAAATGATGGTGTTTAAAAGAACCACACTTCCCTCAACTAAAAGAAACAGCTCATTCATTAGGATGATGAACAGTTGTTCTGGAACTATCTGCGATGGGTGTGTAATTAGTCCATGGACTGCTCAGCAAATTTACATGGGCCAGAAATGGTCCCCAGCCATGAGATTTGACAGTACTTTTAGATTATATCTGGGGAAACTGCAGAATGACCAGAATAGCTCATCAAAAAGTTGAATAGTAGTTTAGACAACTAGTACTACTGTACACATCAACACTTGTTTTCTTATATTGCACAATGTATGAATGCTGTAGAAAAGTGAAAGATTAAAAAAATTACAGGAATGAGAACATGCTCAGACTCACTGTAGACCTGTAGATGTCCTTTGAAAGCGGTGCCTCCTCTTGGATTCTCAGCTTTGCACTCATACATGCCCGAGTCCTCCAGCTGAATGCTGGGAATCTCCAGCACAGCCTGGGACTTCCGAAGCCTTGCTTTCTTGGGGATGTTGCCATTTATCTTCCTCCATGTGATTGTCGGCACTGGACTGTGGAAGGAGAGCAGTAAAATTACACACTTAATACAGTCTAGGAGAGTAAGCAGTGATTACAGCATATGATATGGGAGCTGCATTTTTGCTCTATAAAATAAGAACATTACCATTAAATATAAGATAAATTCATATACCTTCATAGACTGATCTGTCATCTGACAATGACCTATTAATAATATCTGTAATTATTGAGGACATTTTTGTGTTATCTTTTAGTTAAAATATCAAAAAGATTATCTCCAGCTATTCCCTGGTTTTACTTACAATTTCTGAGTTTTTACATTCTTATTTAAACTGCATGTGTTGACTATTGTTGAACTCGTGCTTAATGCTCCATCAATTTATTGATTTATCAAATTACCTGAGTTTTGGACAAGCAATTTGTGACCTCATTGTGAGTTTTTGGACATTTTCATCTTTTTTTATTTTTTGAATACACGATTATTAAAGAATCATATCAGTAAAGAAAGTCATTGTTAGTTCAGCCGATCAATCAATCAAAGACATTTTAAAATTATAACATTTTACGGTAGCAAACATCTGCAATGACGTACAGATCCCAGAAGTCCTTAATTTGCAATGAAGAATTGACACACCATGATGTCTATTTAATGTTGGTTCTGCTCTACATGTGAATCATTAACCTTTTGACCACTCATGATGTATTTACTGTACCAAATGACCCCCACATTAGACACAAGGTTTCAGAGGGACAGTGACAATATTCTAATCAGGTTATTATAACAGCCAGAGCAATTTTTATGATTAGTTTACGAGCGGTGTCATCTATCCTCGCTTATTCGTGGATTGCCCTATAGATCCTTATGATAGATGACTTGCGCACGCAGAGAATGTCTTGCTATACACTCAGTATCAGTAATGCTCTCTTGTATGACAACTGGAATAGACAGGTCTCTGAAAGATGGAAATGTGACACCATGCAAACCTCCAGTGAACCCATCAATCATTTAGCCAAGATGGAAATGTTACATCCCTGAGCTTTTTTATCTGTTCTAAATTCACAAGGACATAGAAGTGCTCTTGGCTACAATGGCTCCAATTAAGATTCAGAGCATGTTTTAAATTAAAAAAATATTTTTTTTTTTTTTCTATTTTGGAGTTTTGGTGTTTTGTGCCTCATTTTGAAGACAAATGTTTTAAGCATTTTCTTTTACTTTGTTTTTTTTTAATAGCTAACTCATTACCTTACAGCATGCATTTAGGTTTCCTCACATCACTGGGAGTGTGAAGCAACATACTGAATAACAGTCAGTATTTTCAGACAAATTTCAGTTCCTTTAGCCCCCAGTTCTGCACATGAATTTGCGGAATGAAATACATCATATACGCTGACCTATTCACAGACAGTCACAATATTTACACTTTTACTCGATATTTATGTAACATGCGTTTCAGTTAATCCCTGAAAAAATGAATACATTTAATTTGACCTATTTCTCAGAGACACATTAATCCAGTCAAATAATGTAAAAAAAACTATCATGAGTCACTGTCATCACTTGTATCTCCCCACCTACAGACAGTTATATATTGTAATAGTGTGTTAAATCAGCAGCAAAATGGTTCCATACATTATGGGTCCAGGGGCAAAATCTGGAGCCTGAGGTAAAATCAGATGTCTGTGTGGGGCCATTTGTTGGTACTTGGCATCTTCATTTTAATGCCCCTGTGGCGTGTAAGAACAATATAAACACACACTAACAAAAGGCATAGCTATGAATGCAGTACTCATGAATATGGCATGCAGTTACGAGGCACCTTCTTATATGCTACAAATGGAGACCTTTGCTCAAAACAAAACTCTGGACTGGCAAGAGAACATAGCAAATCTATAGAGACCTTGAGGGGCTGGAACATGAGGGTGAATCTTCCAGAGTCTATGGCAGGATTTCTCATTGGAGACTGAATAATGAGCACCAGGCCTTCAATATATGTGTTCACAAGACCATGGGTGGGCAGGAGGGAATAGACTCACTCAGTTTAGAAACAAGAAACTCTGCCTGTCAGTGTCCGCTGTATGAAACTGTGAAGATCTGGTCATTCTGGTTGATTTTATCAAAGCGTACAAACTGAGAATTGTGCAGCCTCGCGTTGTGAATGTGTTTCACACTGGTGTTTATGTAAGGTGTTTCAGTTTTCAATTTAAGAACATGCCCATAGGCAAGCTCTGTAGATTACTTCTTAATTAGCATTCCACACAATTGCTGTACCCGCATCTGGACTGGTTCCATAATAAAGGTTCAAAATTAAATCTAATACTGGAGAATTGGTTTGCTTCAGATCATTAAGATCTAAATATTATCCCACCGTTTAGCTCATTTGCTAAGCTCTTGATTTCTTGGCCCCTTTAGGAAACTCTACACTATTTTTTTAAGGGAGAATCTACCTGAAACACAAAGCCCCATTTTGCCTGTATGATCTGAGCAAAACAACCGTCTTTCAAAGACATTAACCACAGCAGCATAAAATGTGTTGTCATTAAGAGGCACTTTCTGTTGCTGCTGACAATGTGGTCCTTGTGTAGCTCAATGAGGAAAGTAACTGCAAAAGGTTCAAGAGTTTGATTCCCTCTGGGGTCAGTGAAGCTAAAAGTATATCCACTACTCCAAGGCAATTTGGATGAAAGCATCCACCACATGCTACATATTATATTTTAAGTGGAAATGAGTGGGAGAATGTGTAACCCATCAAATATACAAGCCTTTTTGAACTGCAGTGAACTTCATACTCCAATATCCCTTGAAATGAATGCAGCTAACAGAACTGCACTTTGCAGAGCTTCTTATAAATCAGACTATGAAGCCAGGGTTTTAAATTGAATTTGTGTTTTTGGAAATTTAGGAAATAGTACATCACCATCAATAAGTGGCTATAATCATTCAGGTTAACGATCCTGATAATCCTTTACTTAAAAAAAAAAAAAAAAAAAAAAATCATTGCCTGAACGATAACTGCTTTGCATCAACTGGCAATAAGGAACCAGAACCAAAATCTGTGTATACTGTACAAGAGTGATATGTGTGGGTCGGTTCTGATGTCTGACTCCGCATGTACGCATAAATAATTCACCCTCCACCCACCAGAACAAATTATTTTCCACTATTTAGAGACCCGAAAAGTGAAGCTTAAAATATGTTCACATTTTAGAGAATGTAATGAATATTTTCCTGATACAGTATATTCTATATGATTTCACCCATCTGCAACCCATCCATTGTTAATCAGAGTGTTAATTTTTATGACCCGGCCTGTCGATCCATGGATTAACCGCAGTGGCTGCAGATATAACTGTGATCTGCGCTTCAATACTGTACACTGTTAAACAGTTAGTAAAAGCTAAGGCTGTAAGGGAAGTAAACAAGAACATACAACTCTTTTGCTTCAGATTTCTATTCAGAAACCATTGACTGTGAACTGGAATCCAGACAAACCAGCAAACTAGTGATGATAACAGACTATTTCAAGAATGAGCTAATTGCTTGTAAAGTAACTTTGGTCTGTCTCTACTGACAGCTCTCATGTAATGCAGGAAAATGCCTGATGTTAGGTCACACAATAATTAGTTTGAATACCTGTCCTGTTCACATAAAAGATCTGAAGGACAGTGCTAATGATGCCTGTTTCCAGCCAAAGTTGTGCTTGGTTTTACTTATCTTTTTATTTATATGAAGTAACTTGTGTTACATTGTGTTGATCCAGAGTGGTAAACAATATTTATCATTCTATGGAGAATTAATTTCCAAATACACACAAGTTACAAAATCATAATTAATAATCAGTCTTGCAGATATTACTAAATATAACATTACAAGGTGACCAGAATGCAAAGCTCTTTAAATTGAAGGCAGGCCGTGTTTTTATTGCTCTCTCTTTCATTTTCTTTGTCTAATTGTTCTCTCTGCCCTTGACTATGGCCTACAAAGTACAAAGTAAGCAAATATCACAACAGAATATCACATCAAGAAGCTCTGGCATTCACACACAAAGAGCTTTTCCGCCCCATCTTAGCTAGTGGTGCCATCATACATATTGATCAACAGCAGGAACAAAACCCATTTTTACTTCATTTTCAGCGCTATATAAAGACTGGCATTCCTTAATAGGGTGCGCTGATAAATCATTCATCTCTATGTACAAGGGTAAGTCACTGGGATCACTGTCTGACTGAAAGCTATCATGCACAAATTACTTCATTCATAGGGCAAGGACTCAAGCTGTTTGGCTGTTGTACAAGCATCTAAAAACTCCTGCCTAGCTTCATGGGAAAACTAAGTGGTGTGAGATTAGAATGCAGTGTCTATATATTTAGGAAATGACTAACCATAATGCGGATAATTAATTGAAACGAAGGTAAACAATTATGAGGTCCTTAGTCATCTGTAGATTAGCGACTGTTTGCACATAAGATAGGAGTCAGCGATGAATAATTCATGCTGAATAATTATAAACAAAATGGAGTAGTATGTTGTAAGATATTTAATCCTTTCTTGTAGTGTCAAACAACACTTCAACTTTGCTGTGAAAAAAAAAAAAAAAACAGATTGAAAATATTTTGCAATAATTTTTGATATCAGTGTTTCAATTATACAAATAATTGTGACTTTATTTTTGGTCTAACCTACCCAAAGCTTATCCCAAAACAATTTTAAAAATATTTTAATGTAAAAAGGCAATAGCTTCATAAACCATGAACAGCAATGCTAACTTTAGTAACAGTGGTAAGTGCTTTGGATTTCAGTCTCTGCGGACGAAAAGCGTTTTCCCTCCTGGCAGACAACTATTACAAATTTCATTTTTTCATAGACATAACCTTGGCTTTCTACATTCATAACAGACCCTGAAAGCACCCAGGAAACACAGATACATTAGGGCTCTCAATTATGAGAACACATGGGTCCCTAGGGCTGAATTCCCTATTCAGTCTTCCCCCCATGCACTAACATGTCATCTAACAGCCGAGCTACGATGCTGCACTTCTCTACACTCACTTAACATCCTGCCTGAAGACAAGATATGCCTGGTTCCCACTCAGGTAATGGAATAATGTAATTTAAAGAAGAGAGAAAAACACAAGGGGTATTATCTAAAGGATCTCTCCGTACCAGATCATTGATAGGCTGTAGTATATTGTTCCTGGTGATTAATATTATACTGCTGTAATAAACAGCTACCTATATCTGTGCAATATGTCCTTGTTTACTTACTTCCCCAGAGCAAAGCACTCCAGCCTGACAGTGACTCCTTTGGCAGCCAGAACAGATGTAGGGAAATGCACTTCAATTTTGGGCTCATATTCACCCATGACACCTGGAAAAGGTTAAGAAAGAGGAATTGCAGATATTAGAACCAAGCAGATTGAAACAGTCACTTACCCTCCCATTACCTATCATCCTCATCTTTTCTAGCAATATGCTACACCGAGACTGGGTACAGTGATTTCAAAATAATAAGGATGTCCACTTCCTATTGCCCTAATGCATCTTTTATGAGTATCTAAGCAACGACTGAAGAAAAAAAAAAAAAAAATTGTAGCAGCAAATCTAAAGTTCCTGATGTTCAAGCCTCTAAAATACACAGAGTGCATTAAATCAAGCAATGTGCAGGTGTGGGGCTGCACATTATGCACACCATCTGGCATATCGTTCAACTATCCACCTTCACTTTACACACTATTTATCAATAGGGTTAGTGATTAGCTGGCTAGATACAGAGCATAATATTTTTGATCTGCACAAAAAAAAACAAAAAAAAAACATGGATTAAAGCATACACAGAATTAGCCAAGTTTAACAGATGGTATAATACATTTCAATAAATTTTCATTATTTTATGTGGTCAAAGTCAGTTGGAAAATACAGGAATATGAGTTAAATTCTGCATAGGTCTGCTGTCTATGCACCACCATGTCTACTGTGTAAGAAATGGTGGAAAAGCACAAAAGCCATCACAAAAACAAAACATTAGGATGATGTAGTAAGTAATGCTCTACAGTGCCAACAGGGAAAAGTGGTGTTTTGTCCAATAGAATTAGTAATCCACTCTACAATTCACAAACACATCACAAAGGATACAATTGGTAACAGTCCTGCTAAGTCTTACAGCTCCACTGTCACAGCCAGGGGGATGTGTTTTCTTAGTTTTTTTCATATGTATGTTAAGGTGGCCATTTATATCCATTTGCGAGAACGATATGTCAGATGACATTGAGCAAATTTGGAGTAACAAAGGAAAGCACCTTCACCTGGGATCTAATTAATATTATCTGTCTTATTAAATGGAAGTTTTGCGATATGAATATTACATGAGTGGTTTACTCTTCACAAAATAATGTTAAATGCACACAAAATCATCGCAGGTGAACCCCTCTGATGGACACACTGCCAACCCCAGCACCTGCCTGAATTCACAAGACAACATTGCAGACCATATGCAGCGCTGCTTGAGATGCACTGTAATGTACATAATCAGTAAGACAAATGACCGGCATGGCATTTGAGAAACCATAATTATACCTCCTACATGTGCCTGACACTTTTTATGTGAAAAAATGACTGCTGCAAAGAAGAGTGGAGTTATTGAATTGTAGCCCACTATGTATGGAAAAGGAGTTTTATGATATTTGTTCCAAGGAACTTTTCAATTTCAATCTCATTCTCAACATTTATGGCTCCAAAGCAGCCCTTCACATATAATGAATTTGCAGTATTTCATTGGTTCATGCCATAGTATATTCAATATTATATTCACTCAGTGGCTGGACTTGATAGAAATGAAAGAAATAATGTCCAGGCCTGGCATGCGAAAACATTACTGGCCCTTATTTGTAGTGTAGCATTATATATTATGTTCCAATTTTATTTATTAATCACATAAAAATTACATTTTCCTGTTGTGCTTTGTTGTTCAATTTCAAAGCATGATGCCTGTTCTAAAATTTACTGCAACCCCAAGCTTATAGCACTGAAAAAGTGTTTCATTAGCGCTCTGGTCCAGTAATAGATAGGCATTTAAGATTCCTCTAAGAGGCACTAACGCAGGAGGACTTTTGTAACCTAAAATAAACCGAAAATATAGACAAAAACATACTTTGTAGTTTCATATGTTTAAATAAATTCATTAGAACTACTATAAAATATATGAAGACTTTATTTCATATTCATTAATGTAAATTCCTTTGTATTTGTGAAATAATCAAATCAGACTTTCCCATGCAATAAAATTTTAATAGCTTAATAAAAACTTTCTTTTACTTTCTTTTTAACCATCTCCATAACTTGAATTGGTTTAGCCAATTCCTGGGCAGTTGGATGGGTCTCCTTAATGGTAATTGGATTGTCACACCCCTACTGTAGCACTCACTGAGAAAGCTGCCCTAAAGGCATTGATCCTCCATCTATACTGTATCAGCAGTGCAGCCATGTTTTATACAAAGAACATGATAAACACTCCAAAAAATGTTGTAATATTCCAGACAATCTCTGGTAATTCAATTATTGATTTCTGATGGTTCTGTTTTTTAAATGCATTTGTTCTTGGAGATAAGGCAGTGGTCTGACATGCAGGCAGGGGGAAACTGCTGCATGTTCTCAATGAACACAGTATATTCAAAATAGTCTTCTAACCTAATCTTTTTAAAATCACAGAAATAAACAATCCTATTAGTCTAGAGTGACAGAGATTTAACTATGTTGTTCTTTACCATAACATGGTTTTATACTTATATACTGTGTGTTGGTACTTCCTTGATATTCAGAGTAACAAACAATGAATTGTTTTGACTACACCACTAAAAATATGTGGATTAGTAAAAAAAAAATGTCATGCTTACATCCAATATGGCTATGGGCCTAAATTCCTCAATAACAATTTACAGTGCAGTTCAGAAAACATGCCCATGATGAGATGACATGTGCCTGCAAACATTATGTTTCACTGATATTACTGTCAGTGTGGAGAGAGAAAATTTCTTATAGCAATAATAATAACAGTGCTGGTGCTGCAGTGCAACTGCAATCTTTATCGCATATCTCTGAGTAAGAACAATGGGTCGAAACCTAATATGTAATTTTTTGATGACAAAAATTTGTGGCATAGTCTTCTATTTATAAAGGTATACTCTCATATATAGAAGACTTTTATTTATAGATGGATGAATAACATGTGTTTCACTCTGGTATTTACCAACATTACTGATGTAAACAAACCTAACTCAGACTCACCCTCACTCTTTCTAACAGTAAGATATAGTGGCAATTTTACAGTGATATGGCATTTACAAGACAACTCATGTAAATGTGAGCCACTGTCACTATAAACAAAACTGTTTGTACACAAGGGCAAAATATGGATGAGAGATGATGGAAAACCAACAAAACTCCTGTATATAAAAGGCTGTGTAAAATATCAAAATGATTTATTTGTAGCAATACTAGTGATAGTATATAATCAATTATTTAAAATTAACTATATAATTAATTTTACAAACATATTCTTCTCATGTGTTCTGATTCAGGACCATTTCACACTTACTGCTATCTGCAGTAATATGATGCACAACAAAGAGAAAAATCAAAGGCAGGGTGTTTCTGAGATGAACTGTATGTCTGTCTAAACACAGTGCATTAGTCCAGAGTTCAGTGATCTGCTAAAGGTGGATTGCGAATTGACGATCAATGGCTTCCAGCAGGGTATAATGGAGCCCAGATGCTAGTTTTGATTAAGAGAGTCAGGGTTGGAGCTGACAGTGGTGAGCCACACACAGATCCAGCTTGAACTGTCTACTGTGTAATAATCACTCACTTTTACTGAGGCACAGATTGTGGTGTCTGATTGGTCAGACTCCAATGACTGAGGGGTGCACACAGCATCGGAACATTTGGGTGTCTGCTGTGAGGTGTGCCAATGTAATTTTCGGCATTTTAGACCCAATTTCACAATATAGAGGGCTGCTGAGCAACATGAGATTTGCAGAGCAAGAGATGCCAAGACATTCTTTGGCATAATGGGCTTACAACTGTAGAGATTTGATTTGGCTATGTTGTGCTGCAGGTGAGAGTGTTGTCCTTCAGCCCATGTGTCAAAGCCACATATCACAATATTGATGCTACAAAATTGATTCCTCTTCCATCAAACATTGTTGAAAAATAACAACAAAAACCTGTTTTTTCTCCAACTATGCAGCATATTTAAACGATGATATCAGACTGACCACAGCGCTTCTGACTGTATTTTGCATCGTGGTTAATGAGAGACACAAACCAATTAAGAGTGGTTATGTGCTAAGTATGATATATGTCTCTGAGGTCCAGTTCATACAAAGTTATGCAAACACAGAGGGTAAGAAATCTTGCTGGAAGGCATGTGATCCGTAAGAGGTAAATTCCTGTTGCAACATTTAGAGCAAACCTGGTTCCGAGGCACAGAGGCCCTTTCACAGCTTCACTGGGGATGTAATCTCAGTGGCTCTTTGAAACCTTGACAATGACAGGCACCTGTGTGAAGTGATGGACGTTTCTCTGTGTAGTCAGATGTAAAAAGCCTGTAGGTGAAATCCACACCTGAATCCAACAAACAGCTCCACAGCATGGCTCCTGAGAGGCTAGTATAAAAGAACGAAATCCCATCCACAGCAAGGGCCATTGATTCAGTTAATTTTATGCTGGAAAATGATTTCCCTGATGGCCAGTTTCACCAAAGCACATTGTGAGTGAAGAAGGCTCCCCACACTAATGTTAAAGCATTGCTCACTATCTATTTGCGGTGTGTATGGAATTCATAACGCCCTCCACCAACATGAGGATCAGTGGAAAGCAGAAGACCGTCCCACTTTTATTAACCTATCTGATCTAAATTTTTTTCTCCAAATGCATTACGATACAATAAAATGCACCAGCAGAATGTAAAATATGCTTTTAGATTTTCATCTGTGCTAAACAAGTTCAGCAGGGGGAAGAGATGTAATAGATCTAAAAAAAATGTTTACACTTTCAGATGAGCAGAGAAAGTATCACAGAGGACTTTGTGATACTTTCTGTGTAGTGTGTGCTTCATCCAGTGAAATCCATTAGATTTGTCTGTCTAGGGCATTCATACAAATCAGGGCCTATCATGTGTGTGAGGTGCGATAAATCTGAGAGCCTCACCATCAGTTTTCAGTGTTAGAGGTGTTGGAGGACTCAGAACCCTTGCATTTGTCACTGTGTTCTTCACCAGACAGATGTAGCTTCCTACGTCAGAGGGTTGCACCTTGGAGATGTACAGGTTTCCTGTGTCCTGGGAGATGAAGCGCCGACTGTCCTCGGCAACAAATGAGGGGAACTCATTAAACACCCAGCTGTAGATAATCTCTGTAAAAGAGAAAGAGGAGACCGTACAGATTAGTGTGCAATAAAAAGTATAGTTTCTCCAGATCTATGTTTTTGTGATCCTAAGAAAACTAAGCTTCATTTCTACATTAAAAAAAAAAAAATAATCAGTGGCTTTCTTTCACATCTAATCTCAGTCCCTCCATTCAGACTATTCATAATGGTATTAATAGTAAATCCTTGTACGATAACAATAGCTGGTTATTGAGTTTGTGGCAGAGAGTGTCAAATACTTACTGAAGCGCACAAACAGTTCTCAGTAGTCTAGGTGCATGAAAGAAAGAGACTTCACTATAAAAAGGTGCATCTGATCTGACATGATAACAATGAAATATAGTTAGTGTGTGACATACTATAAGTAGAATATTTTATATAACATATGAGGCCATGTCATACGACAAACACTAAGAAAACTATTAACCGCAGATAACATCATTAATGCCACTGCTGTTAATCACTGCTCAATGCCTATGAAACAATAATAATTTAAAGAAGTAATGAGAGTGGGATTTGTACAACAACAAGGGATCAGCTTTCTCATCACTATAAAATGACTGCAGGTTTGAACTAAGTCCAAGAAAATAATCCTGAGGCCCCTAAAGATGAAAAAATAACAGGGTCTTAATGAGCCTGTTATTTGCAGAAAGGTTATTTTAATTAATTGGTGATACCATCACAAAGGTAAAACTGGCGTACGATAACTGATTATTCCAAGGTGGACTGATTCCAGTGAGCTTGGTTATGTGAGTGCATGTGTGTGAAGGGTCACAAAACGACAGGATCAGTCTTCTCTTAACTAAAAAAAAAGACAGGGCACAGAACGGGATTTCTCTGACTTAAGAAATAATTATCTTTGTAAGATATCAAAGCTATATGCATATAAGTTGAATCTTTAATATTTTATTCATGAATTATAGTGTGATAGTCTAGGATATAAACTTTTGAACCCTGGCAATCTTAGCAAAACAGATGTTCTTCTGTATTTAGTATTCTGTAGTATCTAGTAATACATACTGATATACATATTAAACTGTAATAAAAGAAATACTACACAGTTGCTTACAACAAAATATGTGTGTTTGAAGAAAAGAAGGAAGATCAAAACATAGTCATCAAAATCACCCAGAAGAGGAATAAGTGGGTGATACAATGGATGGATAGATGGATGGATGGATGGAATATGACTATGATGAACACAGAGCTCACTTTGACAACATGCTGTTTTCTTTTTGTCCATTGTGCATAGTTCTACACAGTCGCATCCATCATTATAAAAAAAAAAAAAAAAAAAAAAAAAAATAGGACTCGTCAGGGACAAATTAATCTATTCTATGTTGCCTAGCAATATTTCACAACTCTTTGATTCTGCATCCATTATCTGTCTGTCCAGGAAAAATGGCTATATTTTCCTTACACTATCGGAGTCATCTCGGTGAATAATGATTAACTGCTGTTTCAAAGATGCTCAGATGCTCAGATTTGAACTGAATTCAAACTGAATGGCTGCAGTAGGGTAGAAAGGAATATTTGAAACACAAACTTGATGACTGTATATAAAGATACATATACAGCTATTAATGTCAACAAATTAATTCCATGGTCAGTCTCATTTACTTAATCTACTGAGAGGACTAACTAATAAGTAGAGGAAGCACAATTATACACAATATAGTTATAATCCAGAGTCTGGGCTACAGTGGAAACTACACCAACTGTACTCTGTATAGAGAAACTTTACTCTAGTTGCTTTAAAATATAATACAGGGGCAAAGAAAATCTTTCCTACAAAGAATTAACTTTATCAAAGACATCAAAGTTCCCACAGGTTTTATCCAAAGGTCATCATACTTTAGTTTCATGAAAGTAAAACACTATTTACCAGAGACACATAAAAACTGGTCACAAGCGCTCAAAGCCATGAAATAGAAAATAATAAACTTTTCACATCTCAGTGATTTCAAATTATTTTCACTCATGAGACCTATCTAATTTAAGTGGCCTTTTAATGTCTTTAAGTCCTCCCACAACCAATTTAACCCAAACATTGTTTAACCTATACAATATAAATTTCAATTGTGACACGCTCTGACTCACCGAGGCATTCATCACATGGGCAAATTTTATGGCTGTGGCATTTTTTAAAACTATTTAGTTGTTGATCATTTCTCATTTAATGTTAGCACTGTTGAAGAAATAAATGATAAACTTACTTGTATTGTGTATTTGAGCATAGTCTATAAACATGAAAAATACGCATCAAAATAAAGGCTCAACAGCCTGCTGAGGATGGCCTGCCACTCATCTATGAAGGAAATATTCTGACTGTGTAATAATCTCGACTAAACTAAACTAAACACTAAAGCTATAAAATTTAAGAGGTACATTTTTATAGCTTTAGTTGAGGAACCTTATAAAATATAAATACGTTTTACGTTTTATATATATATATATTCTTATAAATATGTTTTCTTGTAACAATATCAACATAGGTTGCTTTATCAATTACTTTGTCTCTCACTGCAGGAGCACTTTAAATACAAATTCTGTGAAAGGGAGCAGGAAACCTTCTATAACCTTTGATAGAAATTTAAAGTTGTACTGTTATTACATGACAGTAATATTCAACTTACTTTAGTTATTCTGTGTTTTAAGTAGCATAAATGTCACTTTGTAGATCTGATTTTTTATGTCTTTTATTTGTTTAACCGTGTATGCTTCACCTCTCTCACAATTAATTTAGTGACTTCATTCATAATATCAAAACAAGAATGCAAATTATTACAACACTACAGTGTTTCACCACACTATACTTTTGATATTGAGGTTGTTTGATGATATCTAATGTAAAATCCCATTGTTTTCAATTGTAGTTTTAATGGTTGAGTGATTATTTACATATAATATATTCTGTATTGATCCACTCTGTTGATCTAATACAAGGAATATAACATGAGGGTGTGTAACAGTATATCATAATGACTGAAACATTGGTCAGTTTTACAGCTTACTACAGCAAACCTTAAATGGCAGAAAATAACCATTGCCATCACGCTGATCTCACTCCACAACATCGTCTCCAGTATCTGATTCTAATTTGATGCTAGTCACACTTCTAACCATTAATGTACGGGGGGTTTGACCTGTAAATGTGGTGTGAAAAATTACATGCAGATTACATGGAGCCAAGGCAACACCTGTGCTGTGACTGATACTTTAAGGATAAAAATCACCTGGAATTATCTTTCAAAAGTTGTGTCATCAATCATGTATTTTCTCTTTTATTTTTTATTTTTTGTCAGCAATTCTGTCGCTGACTTTCTCGTTGCTATCACGTCATGCAAAATGGCATCCAGAAACAGGAGCAGGTACTGAAGAGCTCTTGGCAAACATTCCCATGGGTGCAGTGCCGCAGTACAACAGAGCTGATGCAGACAGAAAGCCTGGATGATTCATGGCTCACATAACATCTTACATTAGAGGACAACTGCAGAGAGAGATATTCAAGATATGCCATTAAAGAGCAGTGCCTATGCTTTGCCTATGTGAAATAATTGGATTGGTGCTGTAACATTTCTTTTCATTTCTAATGATCCAGCAAATTTGGTCTCTGAGACTCTGTACTCTGGCTCTGTTGTTGCCATAGCTTTTCACACTCACCATTTGAACAGTATGGATGAATGGATGGATAAGAGAATGGACAAGTACTAAAACTAACCATCACAATACGATGCAATAAATAAATAAAAAATTAGGACATTCATAGTGAATAGTGATGAGTTCAATGACTATCCCAAAAGCAGTGGGAGGAGGAAAAAGAGGAGAAAATATTTTTTCCTCTGGCTCTGGGTAAAATATCTTACCTGGTGAATGAGGAGGAGGGGTACACATGAGAACCACACCTTGGCCTTCACGCACAGAAACCCCACCTCTGGTCTTCCCACTGAAAGCACCGAGATCTGAAACAGTACGCAGAGACAATCCTCCTCAGTCACAGTCAAATAAATCATGGTTATGTGGAATCATTTTGGAGGGAATAGAACACTTATTGTTGTCCCTGCAGCCATCCTTCAATTTCATTACATGAATTAATGACGTAAAAAAACACTAATGCATCAACAGACTTGAGCTGGTTTCGAAAGGAAAAGGCTTTCATCCACCATTCGATTCCTGGTGGTAGTACCTTGTGTTTTGTCATCTGCTCACACCCATCGGTTGCGTTCACATGTTCTCATCCTGCTGCACTTTTACTTTCACCTCTACTGGTTGTTTGTCTGGTTACAACTATTTTCAGTATTGATTAATTTGCCTATTTTTTCTCAAATAATCATTTGGTCAATAAAATGTCAGAAACTAGTGAAAAACATCTGCTTTACTGTCCCACAGCCCAAGGCCATATATTCTGATTGCCTGTTTTATTTGTATCAAATACTTGCATTGAAGAATCTGCAATGTTTGAATTTGAGCAAATTAAGTGCAAGTTGAATGCTTTACTTGCCCGTTCACCAGCCCAGTGGCACACTACCTACAGCACTGTACTGAATGCTTTGGACGTATACTGTATCATATACTGCACAATTATCCAATATGACTGACTGGGCCAAAACAGGAAAACACGGGATCCCCTGAAGTTGTCGAAATAATCATGTACCATGGACACACTGAGCTGGATCTGGACTTTGTTTAGACGTCTTTACAATTACATCTGTAGAGATGTCATGTTGTTTGGAAGACTCCACTTCTAAACTTTGAATTTTTCAAATAATTTATATTGAAGAATTAGTTCGAATTAAATCATCCCAAATAAAATATTACTGTTTTCCGTAGTCTTTGTTTTTAACTGGTTGTTTTTCTGTGGACGTAGGAAAAAGCAGGTTTAAAGTGAAATCCCAGAACTGCAGCCCTTTGGAAACTAATACTGCCTGTTTAATTTCTAGTTGAAACGATGCCAAGCTGTGGAAATCAAGCGACAGGCTGCTGACCCAGGGCAGGTCTCTGTGTCTCCACCACTTTCATCCCCTCACTTTGAGGGACATTGTTTACCCTTACCCTGGAAGTGTTGGATAATTATGCCTTGCAGTGACTTGTGAAACTTGCATTTCCTCTAAACTTCTGGCACATTTAATAATGATCATGGTTCATGGCTTTCATTTTAAAATGCAGCACACGGTCAATTTCCCTTCAATGTATATTTCTTTATTTTCTAGAACATCAGCGTGGTCACTTGTCCATTTTTCCTCAATAAAGCACAGAGTTGCATTTTATTTTAGTATTGGTCACTTTGTTTTGTTTTTTTAAAAACATTTCAGGAAATGGTCACACTCAATGCCATCCACACAAATTCTGAAGAAGCTAAAAGATAAAGAGAATAAATAAATAAGGCTATGGTAAAAAGAAATAGCCCACAATGTTAAAAAAGAATGCAGGAAGAATGTAAATGTATTATGCTGCAGCTTTTCAGTAGAATCAGTCAGGAGAGTAGGCTGACACATAAACTGGATTTGCAAGCATTCAATCTGCACCACAACTCAGTCTGCAATGCTGACCACTTCCTGTGCTTAAAACAAGGCAGACTCAACACTGAACAGACAGTTATCATCATCCAGACAGCATTCAGTGCTGGAACAACAATACACAAAGCTAAAATTTCTGAAATACATATGACTGTAGAGATCCTCTCTTGCCGTCCAATGTTATTCAAAAAGTTGTGCTGCTATCCTAGAGTTACTCGATCCCATCATCTTGGCCCCATTTGGTATGAATGACTTGTGTTGATTTATTTCTGCTAACAATGTGCCACCAGAGTGCAGAGATGGAGAGCTACTGATTGTCACCATGTTCACTATTGATTCACCAGCAGCTGTCACCACCCTGTCTTTTTTTTTTGTCATTGCAGATTCCCTCTACCTCTTTGTCACTTTTTATTCATCCAACATGAATCATAACTTATTGCTGGTCAATGTCCTCTATTGTACCTTTAATGAGCAAACAGACAAAAGGTAAGATAAGTAGATTTCTTATCTATTGATAAACAGGGTTAGGAAAGAAACAAATGAGTCAGTAAATAAGTAACATAAAAACCAACTGACTATTGACCAAGGCTTTTTACATCCGGCTGCTGAAGAACAACAGTAATTGTCTACAACATGACTGCTACTTGGCAGAAACTCTATGTGAGTACGTGTGTTTCTGTGGATATTCCTTTCTCTTCAATTACTCAGCCAGGATATATATTATGGAAATACTCTTCTTAGCCAGCTTGTCTAATTTAATAAATATTGAATGTAATTTTCATCTTTATGTATTCCCATCTTGTTATTCTACATAACCAACTGCTATAGCACAGTAACAATTCACCCCACAGTACAGTATATCCAGAGACCCATTACACTGGCACATGGGAAACCATTCATTTTACATTTCGGGCAGATGCAACACTGGTTGTTTGGAATAAAGAAGTCATGGTTAGCATGAGCAGTAATAGGTAACACTGAGAAAGATAAAAAAAAAAAAAAAAAAACAGGTGCCACCTACATAAACCTATATTACTGTTTGATTGTTAAGTGAGAAGCACATTGTAGAAGCACCACAGCAATGATCACTTTACTTGTAATTTGGGGTGTTTCAGTTAGAGACAGAAGTAAGACATCAATGTTAGAGACATTCATATGTTATGGACCCAAGAGACGAGGTTCGAATAAAACACTTACTGACCGATCATTTCCCTTTGCAAACTACAGTTATGTAAGTGAATCAATATTAATGACTTTTTAACAATGTAAAACCAGCATGATCGTTACAGCATCCTCAAAAATTACAAGTCAACATATGTCCCTATAAATATTTAAAATCCAGAAATGCAGTGATGAAATTTGCAGCAAGCACAAGAGCAGGTGCTCAATGCAAATTAGCTATTTCAAGATCAGTGTGAATTTAATCAATGGGCATTAACTACTGATCATTTCAGATTTGTAGAACATTTCAGAGAGGGGTGCGTGTGTGTGTGTGGGTCTTCAAATGCTCGAGTCAAAGCATCCCGTTAATTTCATTACTACTGTACTGCTCAGAGTGGCTCGATACCTGAACCTCAGCCAGACTCGTCTGCAGAGAGAGAAGAACTCTTTGGGGAGAAAGATCAGAAGCCTCCTTTCTGCCTGCTGCCTTCAAAGTCACGGCTGAAAAACAGCCCAAGTGCGAGTTCAGCAGCTCAGAATTTCAAAACAAAGAGAGAAAAAAAGCATCCTACTCAAACATCTTTGGAGCAGAGTACATGACCAGTGGATAGAATACAGACAGCCTTGACTGAACCTTTCCTCGTGCACTCGGGCTGGTCCACTCTTACCTCTCCCCTGATTCCCCACATGAAACTGAGCTGTGTTCAGTACGTCCGCTTGACATAACAACCCTCTGGAGTAGTGGGTATAGTCAAGTGCTACACAGGCACATAATTTCAGCATTTGCCCAACCCAGCAAAAATTCATTCAGGCCTGCCTGATCTAAACAATTGAATTTTTTTTTTTTTTTTTTTTTTTTACCAGATCCTTGCCCAGAGCTAAAATCTTAACATCAATAAATCACAATTCTCTTATGCGCACACACACACACACACACACACACACACACACACACACACACGCATACACACACATACACACGCATACACACGCATACACACGCATACACACGCATACACATGCACACACACAGAAGAAAAAGAAAATGCCAACCAAGATTTAGTGAGACTAACTATCATAAGCATAGACAAAATCTTGAAACCTCTCGACAAGTACACTGGTAACAATCTTAAACAATAATAAAATCAAACCCTTACAATGCCCGACTATTCATGTCAGCTGGCTAGCAAATCCAGGACTTCCAGGGCTGTATTATGGCAAAGGCTAACCACCTCGCTGAAGATAAGCTCTTCCACCAATGACAGTACAAATAATTACATCTTTACAAACTATAATATTAACCTTAGCTGATTATTATATGGCCGACTCTGACCTGAACATGTAGAGGATTTAGTGTACTCTGATTGAAATTATAGCCTGCTATAATTTAGTGTACTCTGATTGAAATTATAGCCTTCTATAATTTCAATCAGAGTACACTAAATCCCCTAGTGTTGTAATATGATACAACACTCTTTCCCATCTAAAAACAGCATTACAAGGAGCTGAGTCCTGCCTGTATGTGATGTCTCAAGTCTTATAAAATCAGTTAATTACTTCTTTAAAACATTCAGCTATTGAGGAAAGGAACTGCTCATGTGTATCTGAACTAGTTGAAGTAGTTGACAACGCACGTCATGTCAACGCATGGATATGTGCAGTGCCAACATGAAAAGAGAAGAAAAAGTTGTGCTCCACACTGAGTGATAAATACCCACCATTTGTTATGCTGAAAGAGAGAGGGAAGGTTCTGCATCCAAATGTGTGCTGCAGGGCACCTCTCTTTGTTTCTGTGGCAAGCCTTCTGAAGGGTTGCATTTTAAAGAAATGCAGCCTGAGTATGAGACTATTACACATTCATAGTGTTGAATATACGTTCGGTATATAGCTGAAGGAACACTCACACGAATGTGTCACCTCATATGTTAAACAGACATGGATAAAATTAAAGGAAAAAGAAATTTGGTCATGGGATGAAATGACTAGATAGGTTTTCCTAATAGAGCTTAGTGAAGCCCAGGAGCCAGCAACATATACTAAGCTCTCACGTGAAGTTAAGCATATATAGGAAACAACCTCAATAAGCCACTTTGTTTCGTTTTTTTTTGGGGGGGGGGGGGTTTCACTATTTTTGGACAAAATTGTATTATATCATCATCCCATATATTTCCTAAATTATCATATGTCTTATCATCCCTATATAGTGACTTGTCATGCTGTATATGTAGCACTGTGGAGAACAAAATCTTGCTCACATGTATGTCGAGCATGTACTACAGAATTAACAATAAAGGAACCTAAACTTGAACTTAATGGATACAGGTTTTTAAAAATGAAGGAAATTTTATCACAACTTACTACTTATTAGGTAATTACAAAACATCAGGATTTGCATTTTTGGAACCCATTAGAGTTTTACTGTTAATGGAAAGTAATATATTTCCTACACCCACATATTTTTTTTATTTTTATGTTTTCATCTCTATTACTAACAACATTTAATCCACAAATAGAGCAAATGTTTGCTTCAGTGTTTCTTTAACTGACTGATGATACTATCTGCAACCATTAAAGAAAAATTATTCATTCTCCCACTTGGATATTTCTGACGGGTTCATCAGATCTCACCACAACAACAGTTGGTGAGATGTGGGATTTGTTGCTGACTCAGTAGTACAACTGCGATAGTCACACATGTTTATTCAGCGAGTGACATTTCAGGGCCTTGTCTCAAAACCCCCAGGCCACAGAAAATTTGCTACCATTCCACAGTGCAAGGCAATAATGTTATTCAGCAAAAAGAGTTGAATAATAATGATAAATGAATGAAATGAATTTTATAGGCGATTTTTTGGCTGTTTTTGCTGTTATACCTTGAACTTGGTGCAGGCTGCTTGTGCTGTATCTTTCTACTCCCTGTCACGCCCCAACAACAGGATACTGACTGACCTGTCTGTTACCGAGACTACAAAATCCAATTTTGTGTACAGATGGCTTGAGTGAAGCTGATGTGTGACAAACAAGTGGCCATCATCTCAACTGACATACCTGCCAGTCAACCAAACATAACCGCAAACATACCCTCTGCTTATGACTTCACACGCTTTCAAAAGATTCTGCCAAGGCCCCCGTTAGGAGAACGGCAATTAGCTATACAGACCAAATTAACTAGATGCATACAGTATCAATCATGGACTACACTGTGAAAACACTGATTTGGATTTGAAGATAGCTTTGGTGGTGGTCCCGTTTGCTTTGATATAGCCCATTTTTTTGTAATGGGGGATCTAACCCCCATCACAGGTGGCACATCTTAAGGCACTGCACTGTACTTGTATACATGCATGCTGCTGGTTGCTGTTTGGCAGACAATTATTGAGAAGGAAGATGATACTTTCTTCAGTGTAGTAAGGTTGTGCGAGCCTAACCATAATCCATAGTCAACCATCGTCCTATTGTCACCCTGTGAAATTGGGGGGGGGGGGACTATACAGCTGTTTACGCCCAAGGCTGTTCACGACGGTCAGCTTTATGTTACATTACCCCTTAAGGAAGAGAGCGGAAGAGGAGTGACCAAAAAAAGAAAGAAAACGAGTGCGTCCCGCTTCGCTCGCCTCTCTCCCTCATTGACTCCAAAAGTTGTATTTACCACCATAAAAAGCAGCAGGATAAGAAACTGAACTAAATGATGTGTTCTGTCTTTCTGTCGATCTCCTCCACTCTTAAATCACAGCAGCTCCTACACACAACAAGCAGCTTCATTACAATCAGCTGATCGGGGTGGGTGTGTGTGTGTGTGTGTGTGTATGTGTGTGTGTGTGTGTGTGTGTGTGTGTGTGTGTGTGTGTGTGTGCGCATGTTGCAAGCATCGGTTATATGCCATTATATTACATTATATATGGTATATAAACTCTGGCAGGCAAAATTAAATTTAGTATTAATTTAATACTACAAATAATAAGTTACTAGATTAATGGGAAAAGAAGTCAAATACCACCTTGACATTTGCAAATGCATGCGCAATCGACGATCGTTCTAATTAGAATCTTGCATTGCCACTGTAAATCTAATGGATAAAACAGTGTCAAGCAAACTCGCAGCATTTATGCAAAACCAAAAATAGCTGCCCATGTCCCAGCTTGAAGCTTAGACTAATAAATGAGTGCCTTCATGTTGCGTTGCTCATTTTCAGGCGAGTTCAATTTTTTAGGCAAAAAAAAAAGGCTCAAGCCCAATTTTTTTTCCATACTGATTTGGCGCTCAAGTGGAAAGAGGAGGAAGAAAAGCAAAAGATCTGGACAGTTGAGAGGACAGATGAGGGTACATGTTGAGGTGCAGCTTCTTTCTCCCTCAGAAACTAGCAGCACTATTTTGAAGCGTGTCTATGCTTTACCATCTGGGTATTTCAGCCTGCCAATGCAGTATGGTTTATATTTAATTCAGGACCAGTTTTCCTTTGATTTTTGTTCACTTTTTTGATCACGTTCATATATATGAAGCTTTGTCTGGGGGAAAAAAAAATTGAACAAAAGAGTAAAGAAAACCTTCCCGTGGTTCTGTTGGCCTGAAGAAAATAGTGCTTTTACAGAAGAGAACTTTATCCCTTTTTCCTTTCTTCAAAGTTTCAGGCTAATCTAGCCATTTGTTTCCTAAGAAATTCCTTTAACAAGTGTAAGTCCCCATAACAACACATGTACTATACTTTATGGCAGCAGCTCAGTGACTGAGAATGGTAGCTCCCTGTAGACATGCCAATAAGGCTATTATGGTCATTGCCCCAGAGGAAACTATAGAGAAAACCAACAATGCATTTTCCTCTGAACATAGTGCACCTGGTCTTGCCATGTGAGCTGCCTTAGCCTCTGATGATGTTTTGGAGGTAGGCCAGGGGATTACTGGGGAAGAAATGTGCCTTTTGCTCTCATTTACCATTAAGACGTGGTGTTTGAGGGCAGATACCCTGTTAGCAGTGCAACCCAACAGTATCAGACGGAGTCAGCAGGAACTAAACACAGCAACAAAGCCTTACTGTAGACAGTGCAGTGTTTATTTAGCCCTGGAACCACACAGGTTTATTTTGACTCATTTAGGCGAAGAGCTTGAAGCTTATTATTTACTATGAGAACCATGTTATTCATCCCAACTGCAAGTCTGAGTGACTAAAGTGTGCATTTTTAGATTTTACTCACACAGAGACAAGGAGCTACATGCTGCTGTATACAGTATATCAGACTATTTATAGACCCTCTGTGAGCAGAATAAAAAATGGTTGAAATAATGAATAAAAAGTCTACTCACATGCAAACTGTAATAGAGCGTCTCGACTTAAGATGGTCCCAAAGCTGTTGTCTGCTTTACACTGGTACTTCCCATAGTCAGTGATCTCACTCGCATTTGTAATAATGAAGTTTCCATCAATGAAGCTGTAGCGGTAATCTGCCTCTGCATCCACTTCTGTTCCATTGATGTACCAGCTGAAAAACATAAGAAGAATAAGAGATTTTAATATGTTTGTGGTGAATGACAGGCTAATGAGCTGTGAGAATAGGACTGCAATAAGGAGACAGATAAATATATGTCACACCTGTATGTGGGTGGTGGATTCCCCCGTGCTTCACAGTGCATCACCACTTTCTTTTCATCAGAATCCAAAGGAAAAACAACATCATCTGGCTCCCGGACAAAAACAGGTCCAAACTCTTCACTTTCTGTGAGAAAAAGACAAGGATGATTACAAGTATCACAACAGGAGTGCCAATCAGTTTTATTGTCCAGTTACTTCTTCTATCACTCCCCAGTTTGGTTAGTGCAAGCGCATATTTTGTACCAACATCCTTTTTAGGAGACGAGAGAAAAGGAAGATGTACAGATCCACAGTGTGATGAAATTATAAGCAACAAAATAAATTGTAACAATAACTAGCATGACATTCTGCAGCAGACAGCAGATTTTTCTGACAGATAATAACACTACTGTGACATATTGTATAACTGATGCAGCACTAAGAAGGCATTCTAGTAATCCTCAAATTGAGAATAAAAAAATGTCCTTCTCAACTAGACAGAGCAAATTTCTTAAGTTAGAAGTGAACCTTTGTGATCATACAGTTAACCTGGTTAGGTGTGATTCATATAGTAAAAAATATAGGGATATAGTATTATATAGATATATTATATAAATTTAGTAAAAAATAAATGTTTCGAGATGTTACACTTTCAAGATAAACCTTTAATCTATAATCCAATTACTTTTACATCTTGGACTTATTGTTGTTGTTTGTCATCACGGCCATGAGCCGATAATGTTCTTGGGTCTTAACACTTTGTCCTGATTTTGCAGTAATATTTCTTGGGTTAGGGTTACACATCTGCAGTCTCCACTATCAAATGGATTCACGTTTCACATTAAAGCACATATGTTCACACAACCCAGTGATTTACAACCAGCATCATAGTATTTATCATCATCTTCTCACAGATCTATTTCCTTTTACAAATAATTTTACTGTCCTCACACTGAACAGAAAATAGGCATTTTTTTTATATGTTAGAGAGGAAATGTTACAAGAACACAATCTTTCCTTTTTCTGTCAGTCCTCCACCATTGTTTCCTATCCTCCTAATAGTCTGTGGCAGGTATCTTGTTTTATATAACAAGCTCTGCAAGCAAAATTACAAGAAACAAAATAAGCTTGCGGTGAAAATGTTCTATCTATAAACCCATATATGGAGCCATCTAATATTCAGACATTGGTCAATTAACAAATACTTACTTTAATTATCCCATCTCTAATGGTATTACTCAATTGCAATATTCACATTAATGCAATAAAACTGATATTGCATCCACATGACAACAAGAGCTTTTTTCAAAAGTATACATGTATGCCACAATAGATTTGTTTTTTCCTTTTCTTCTTACTCTTCATATTGAGGTAGATTGCACCATCCTTCTCTTATTACTGCACATGTACCAACATTAAAATTTTATATATAAGTTTATATTGATGCTCATGTCATAGAATAGTGCAGGTATCCCAAAGGTATAGAAAGATGACATTTGGAGCACTGATGCTCTGTCATTAAGTGCGATACACTGTATGTGGGTTACATAGGGAGTGCTTTTGTCATTTTTGTGGCTGGACAGGTGAGGCACACATGAAGCAAATGTGATTCATTATCAGGAGTTGGAAACAACTGTGGCCATATAATGTGGAGAGGTACCAGCACACTGGAGTCAGAGCCCCCTTATTTAATAGGCTTTCATGGCAATGAAATGATTAATCACACAAATACTCTGGAGAGAGATCTTTATAAAATCACTGACATCATTTTTTTTTTTTTTTTTTTTTTTTTACAACCATATGTAAAACATAATCAGAAATGTAAATATATAACTGAATGATGTTTTAAAATATTGTTGGGACAAAGTATGTCAAACTGGGTTACTATTTATTTTCTAGTCCATTGAAAGCTCGAATTACAAATGCTTATATAATTTTAAATTTGTGAAATGCTATTTAACACCTACATGACTACACCTAAGCCACGCTGTTTCTTGATCTAAGGGGCTCTTGTTGGTGATCTGAAGTGGCTCTCAGGTAAAATTTGAACTCTCCATGGCACAAATGCACCCACATATCAATGTGCTTCCCAGCCTAGTGTTTTCTGCTTGACAGTCTCTGTTGCAATTCTCTTCAGTTCCTTTAGAGTACTCTCCTCTTTGATCCAGCCTTCTGTTAACACAGAAGAGATGCACTTATTGCGGAAGGTTTCCGAGGTATATTGCATCACAGAATTCAAGATTTTACAAAGGACAACTGAATCTTGTGTCCTTCAGAAGAATTATTTCTGTATGAGATAAAGTAAGCCCAGTAAACACATGCTTTTTGAGTTTAAACTTGACAGCACAGAATTGCAGCCAAATTTCTCATAGTATACTGTATAGATATTCAAGCTCTGTTTAAACAGACGTCATTTTTTGAGCACATAGGTTTGGCTCGCAATACAGTTGATCTTGTACATAAATAATACAACAATGCAATTCACTAACCTTGAGTACCTCTCACTATTTAGGAATATTCTGATGACATCAAAGAATCAGGGCTTCTTTTGCAGGGTTCAATTCATTCAGAAAGTATTCAGACCTGTTCACTTTTTCAAATGTTGTTATGTTGCTTATGCAGCTTTTTCCTTTTTAATACATTTCCAAACATTTCTAAGGTTCTCTTTTCACTTTGCCATTATGGGGTAGGGTGCAGACACACAAGGGAAAAACTGAACTTAAATGATTTTAGCATACGGCTACAACATAATAAAAATGAAGGGGTCTGAATACTTTCTGAATGCACTGCATGTATACAATCTCACCCTTTGTCAGCAATTTACTGCTCTACAGGGGAATAAAAAGCTTTTAAATTAATACCCTAATCAGTGGAGGAAAATTAATCAATATTAAGTTGCAAACCTTGCTGTGCAAATAAAGAAAAACAATTCAGTGCTTGTAGTGTTGCTACTGTTAAAATGTAAATGAAATTAAGGGATGTTTCTACTTCCATCCATACATTCATTCAACGATACCAGTACACTTCACCAGCCCACGTTTTGCTTGTGTAGCGGGCCATGTGTGTGATGAAATGATTTCTATTTCAAATGAAACCATAAGGTTTCTGGAGCTGAGTTTCAGCTGAAACAAGCAAGAAGAGAAATTGGATAATATCATGGCCCAGCAGTGCATCTCTAGGGAAGACACCAAGTGTCTGCTGGTCACAGGCGGTCGTTAACTGCAAAGAATTATAAATCATTAAAAATTATGACTTTATGCAATGTCTCCCAGTTTGTGTTAATTCTTCAAATTTATTTTCTTTCCCCTAAAATTGAGGGATGATTCATAAAAAGGGCAACAATTCCCACAGTGTCCATCTGACGTGGATGGAAACAACCTAAAATTAAAGCTGGGAGTTGGCACTTTAACTTCATAGTTATTGCTTTATTTTAAACCCAGTGTGCTTTAGCTAAGCACCAAAACAACACAAGGAGTGTCATCATCCTTCCTGACTGCACCGTAATTATGGTTAACAGTTGAGCCTGATCTGAATCCGAACATAATGTATATTGTACTGCAGGGAGCCATAGAAAAGGCTATGTGTTCAGCTTGAGCTCACAGGCAAAACTAACCAGTGAGTCTGACTGACTTCAAAGTATTTAATAAGTGGACAATTCAAGAACAAACATCTTATTGTATCATGCTGTGCCACAACATGGAAGAAAACTGACTCAAAATGAATCACTGCCTTTTGGGACACCTAGTTGTTTAACTATTACTGGAACTGTGCCCACTCATAATACATTTGTATGAGACCATATGGAATTATTAGAGTTGGATGAAAATAACAGATTTCAGTGCTACAGTCTGTGTGAGTGTGTGTATAAAATTGAAACTCATACACAAGGTGGAAAGTTGTTTAAATCACTCAACTTCAAGTGCCATGGCCATCTGTCAGTCACAGAGCCAAAAAGCAATATCCCCTTTAAGCCACCAAAGGTGCATTACTTTTTGGCATCCATTTCATTCACTGAACATCAATCCAGTGCAATGGTATAATGCTCTTGTCACCACTGACAATGGAGAGGCATTACTCTCACCTTGGTTATAGAGATATAAGTCATTTTATGGCTACATAGTGATAATGCTGTCAGAAAGTAAAGAAAGACAGTAAGAGAGGCAGAGAGGCACAAAGAAATAAATATATAAAATATCAAAATGTAAAATAATCAAAGGATAAAAAGAAAAAATAAGATAAAGAAAGATTCCTGCTTTATGCCTGTGTTTAATTTGATTAATTTCATTACTTGCAAAGTGGGCTATAGAAAGATACTGTTTGCCAATTCAGCAGCTACTTCAGATTTCCATTAATTAAGCACTCCAGATGCAATAAGCATGATGTTATTAATCATATATTAAAGCATCAATGTGTCATTATATCCTCTAGAATTATTCATACTGTAAGTCAGGACAGCAAGTGACCCATGTAGATTTATGACAGTGTGTTTCCATGCTGTGTTTGGGGTATTAAATCTTCCCTTTTGACTAAGATATCCATCATATCTACAACTTCTACACTGACAGGAACACAGAGAGAGTTGGATATTGCCATGATCCCACTTCAATTTCACAAAGGGCATGACCATGGTCACTGCAGACCATACACAGTGATGATGGATAGGTGAGATTCATTTCTGGACCAAATCTAAACAGGCGGGGAAGGCTGCACATATCAAGTGAGACCAGAGATGGCAGACTATTGGCAGTGTGCAGAGATAGCAGAGTGCATTCACACCGATCACATTTGGAAGGGTTTATTCAAGATCTGGAGTGTCCACCCTCTTAGTCTGGTTCATTTCAGCAGGTGAGAACAAAGTAATCTGAGCTCATGTGACATATCCTGTTTGCACTAACACTACCTGTCAATTCAGGTGTCACTCCTGCATGATGTGACTATGAGGCAGTTGGTCAGAACTGATAATGTAATCCAGGACTAATAACAGGAAATGACCCAGAAAAGTAAAGTTCTCTTGGCAGAAGGAGACAGATGCTGACATATGATAGGTACCAATTACTCTTAACAGAATACACTGAAGGCAAACCACTCTTTTCAGATAATCATATTTATTTATTCAGCTTTTTCTTCCTGTTTTCTTAACTAATGAACACCACAGCATTTCAGTGCTTAGCAATGTGTAGCGCTGTGTACACAGGGGTTCATTAACCTTGGCTAAAGTTATGGATGAAATCAATACAATTGACTATCGACAATTTTCCAAATTGCACCATAAATTAGCTATTTGTAAAGTAACTTGACTTTTAATCACAATTTGTTTGTTAGCGTGGACTTTAAATAACCAGAGGCAAAAATTTTGCATTTTGGTTCAGACAAGAGCAAACAAACGGCAGGTTTGACTGCACGATTAGTTTTACCTTCACTCCGGTAGTCCTCCTGAGAGCTGAGCAGACTCAGGGCTGACAGGGGGTGACTGGAGAAAGCAGGCCAGTCAGGAGTCACCATCCCACCACTGTGGTGTTGTCGAGGTCTGCTGCGTGAGTTGAGCACTGACGAAGAGCTGTCTGGTTTCATTCGTAATACTGCTGCATATGATATAGGCCGTGCTGCAACAGCTCTTGCAAAATCTGGAAAGAAAGGTGAAACACAGAAAAAGATTACATCATATTTACTCATGTCTTTGCATCACACTGATTCAAGGTGACAAAAATTTGGCCCAAATAATGCAGTTTAAGATAAATATTTAGTAAAGCATCTTATATCAATGTCTAAATGGAGAGAGAGAAATATTCAAACACTAATTTGATTTTTTTTTTTTAAACTGATGAGCTCGAGTCAATTTCTCATGTATGAGGAATAATTTGCAACAAATTAGTGTCCTACGGGGCAGAAATCTTGCTGAACAGGAAACAAAGAAAATAACAGAATACAGACAGCAGGATAACAAGGTGTCACGATTCAGAGACAGCTCTGAGTGAAATAGTTGGAAAAATCAAGAATGTATTTCCTACCGTCTGCAGAAAGGACATACACTGCTGAAAAACACGAGTTATAGTATCTGTGATATAACAGACTTCTGAAAAATCCACATTTTGGCAACAAGGGAGCTCTAAAGCCTGAGTGTCCAAATCTATTTCTCTTAAAGACTTAAAATCCACTTAATGGATCAATAATTTTCAATCAATCAAGACACCTGTTAAATAGGTGAAATTACCATTAAAGACCCCAGCTTCTTTTGTGAAAACTTTTTCATTCTCTATTTCTACAGCAATGCTAGGAGTCTTTCCCCTCTGACTTCCATGCTGTCAGTCTTTTTGTGGAGCATCTAGCAGCCATTAGAGGCACTATGTAAAGGCACTCATGATGCCTTAGGTGAAAAACATGCACTTCTTACGAGGTACCACAGATACACTGCATACTCTGGAAATCAGTGTTATCAAAGTCTCAAATTTGATAAAATGGTAGGTGTAACAGAACAGGAGAGGAACAGCTTCCTTTAAAGTAAAGGAGTCCATGGGGGTTCAGAATAATATTCTCTCTGAAATGTAAACAGCAGTTGAAGCTGTCACTAGTCATTTCTGTCACCACATTCTTCTACTACTTACTTTTAAGGGATTCAATCCACTTTATGAAGGGTAATTTGCCACTGTGTTGTCTTTTATGATCCTATAAATATAACAACTCAAGATTACACACATACTTACAGTAGTTTCCCTATGACAGATGATCATAAATACATATTTCTTCCGAAGCAACTGTATGATACAGCTACAACAAATAGCTGAAATTACTGATCATATGGAAGCATTGCTGTACAGTTATAATGCTTAAAACTAAGATGAAAAAGACTAGAAGCTTGACGCTCAGCAAGAGTCTAATCAGACTTCTGCAAAGGGGGGGGTGGGAGTGTTTTGCACTACATGATAAAGTGCTATGAAAGAACTGAACAAAACTGAGAAATAATTATGTGCCTTCGGGGACTTCTCAGCAGCAAAAATACTGCTATCTACAGTGGGCAATTATGCATCACATATTCTGCGGAGAAGCAGGATATGGAACTCCATTTGAAATTAAAGGTATTGTGAGTTTGAAAATTGATAAGCAAAGCAATTAGTAGTTGGTTGGTAGTCAGTTAAATCATTTATCTTGCTGAGAATCAGCTCAATTGAGGTGTAAACCACATTCCCACAGCTGATGTGCACAGTTGACTGAACAATGCAGAGCCTTCCACTTCTTCTCAAAATATGCTTTTGACAGCTGGAAAAGTTAACTAAAAGTAGTAGGTCAAAAAATAAGACTAACACACATTTCTTATTTTTAGCCCCATATGACTGAATACCACCTTAATCCTAAAGTGTGTATATCGTGTATCTTAGCACATTTTGCTATGTTTAACATACATTTAACATGCAGTAGCAGCCAGTTCAAATTTTGAAAGATGCTGGACAACGAGTTTGCAGAACAATTGGTTTTCTAACATCTAATTAGTCTCAGAAAAATGCTCAGTGATTTTATGTCATTTTTCAAAAGCCATGTTTTGAAAAGAGCGTTTTTATTTATCAGCAATTAATTTAAGTTTAATGTTTCATTTTAGCCATTGGTTTGCTTTCGGTTACAGTTCATAGATTTGTCAGCATTTTCTTTTTTTTTTATTTATTGCATTTTTTTTCGAATGACTTCTTGAGCATCATAATGATGATTAACTTTCTGGTCTTTCATGCTTTCTGTTAAACCAGTTTTGTCCCTCCTACGTCTTTAAAAATTAACAGTAAATTCTTTTTTCATGACAATTCAGTTCAGCGCTGACACAAAAAAACTCAACCAAATGAATTCAGAAGCTTTTCAAAGCGTCAGCTGCCAACTTGCCTTTGTTACTTGGGTGAAGTCAATTTTGCAAGAAATGGGGGAGGTAACAAGTCTATACATGAAACAAAGTGGGAAGTGAAGGCACTGTATATCTTATTCAGTTCATTTAACCAATACTGAGCGGTGAGCATGGGAGTCCTATAGTGATGAAAATTTTGCTATATGCATCATCAAGGAAATTCATGTTGTTGATATCCTCCAATCCAACCACAGAAATATGAAATGGTACCATGGTAAATTGATGTTTAGTTGATAACCCACTCATCATCCTGTTTCTCGCACTGATGTGTTTCTTTGAATAAAGCTTTTTGACTGAGCACAACTCTGCATCGCTCTGACTGACAACTGTGACGATGCTGTGACAGTTGCAGTGTGTTTGAGAAATGCAGCGAGTGATGAAAGGGAATCAGCTTGTTATAAAATTAGTCGATCCTGTTATAAGATGACAGTTGCACTGTCTTCATTTAAATAAAGGTTTAAAATACTGTCAAGAAAGAAGCCTCATTTATCTACCTAAATGGGAAATGTACAGGTAGACATGCCATATCATGTCAATGCCATGTGGCATATTTCTGTCATTGTACTGTAAGTAAATTCATCAGACTTTATTCATTTTTGATAATAATGAATGTTTTTATAAAGTAACAAATGGAAACCAAAGATTAAAGCGTCAACGCAACCTCTCGCTGCTAACTGAGACTGGGCCAAAGCCAGAAAGAAATCCACATTAGTGTTTATCCCTGTGCACATGTGACATACTCAGTTAGAGAGAGCACAGGACTAAAAGATAGCATAGTAATCAAAATGCTTGAGCCTAGTGTTGCACGGTATACCGATACTAGAAAGTTATCGCAAGACTGTGGCGTTAAAAATGGATCTATAGTATACTCCGTTTTATTAGCATTGATACTTTAAGAATGACAGTGAAAAACCACATTTCATATGACAGTGGAGCAGTGTGTGTGTGTGTGTGTGTGTGTGTGTGCGTGTGTGTGTGTGTGTGCGTGTGTGTGTGTGTGTGCGTGTGTGTGTGTGTGTGCGTGTGTGTGTGTGTGTGTGTGTGTGTGTGTGTGTAGCGCCCAGCTTCCAATCATTTTTTTTTTCTCTTATGTGCTCGTCTGCAGCTTTCATGGTGACAAAACAAGAGGCATGGCTTCAAAAGTGCTCTAGCCAACTGTCAACTCCTTGTTGACAAAGCAGACACACAAAGTGAAAGTCAGGGCAAGACCATGCACAGTGAAAAGCCAGTTTGTAAAAGATGTTTCAAACCTACGCAGACTGCCGGAGCCAACATGTCCAACATGGCAAACAGACCGACAGACATGCCGACCTGTTCAATGAATTCAAAGAGCGACAGGTTAGCAAAATCTGATAGATAACATAATTCGTGCCCTTAAATGTAAGTCAAACAAGTGCAATTTATTTTGTGACAAACGAACATCGGAGTTTGACGAGGCAATAAAGGGCAATGATAAATTGACTGTGTCTTTTTATGCAATGTTCACTTTTGGTCAGGCTAACTTTACCATAACTTGCAAGCGGTTACAAATCAGGCATTCACAACTATGCAGATCGACAACACCAGTTATAAATGATCAATTTATATTCAATCAGTACTGGTACTAGAAAATGTGCTCAGTAGGGCAAAAAACTTCCGCCAAGGAGATGCAATGAGTCTTATTAAACACTGGTTGCAAATATAAAGTTAACTATCAAAGAAAGTATATGGGGCATCAGATTACTTACTAAAAAGCTTTAATAACACCATGATCTTGATCTAATTATTGACAATGATCCAATTATAATGATATAAATGTTCAAATTCATTGTTTAAAATTCACCAAGTCTGGTACTTCATGGTGATGAAGCTCAAACTCAGGATTATTAGCCTGCACACTACAGTAGTGCACTATTAGTAAGTATCGTTTCAGTATTGGCATCAAAATATTAGACAGGCATCATATCGAAGTCATAATGTTGGTATTGTAACAACACTACCTGAGCCATGCTACAACGTCCTTCAGTACAAACATGACTTTGTGGTTAGGTTGTCACAATTCTAACAAATTCAGTTCTGTTGCTACAGTTTCAAAGGGGTATTGATACAACTCAGTGATCATTTTGGAGGCTGTATTTTTGCAGTGGTGCTTGATTGTACCACATAATGCTGAAAGGAAATCCTAATACTTTTTTCATCCCTGACTACTGTCAGTTGATATGGAGGGTGTTATATTGGATTGTACTTGATATAGCTAGGTGTCCAACCAGTAATAATCTGGCAAGCCAGTAACAAATCTTGACTGCAAGGTTGACCCCAAATACAGGAACTGGTAATTGAAGGCTGTTTGTAGAGATTCTGTGACATTTTCCATTCAGTTGTTTACTCATGAGTTAGCACAGAAAATAAATGACTTAAATATGTTGAATGTGCCTGGTTTTGTCAAGGAAAACCCTCAAAAAAGGTTTCAGTGTGCACCAAACTGATATCAATTTAATGCATGAAAGAATCTTGAAAAACCATGCAGAACTTTAAGTGGCAATGGCCTGCTACTCCCCTTTTGTGTGACATAAGACTTGAAACAGGTTACAGTGAAATCCTGTCAATCCTGCATATACTGTTCTGTCAAGTGAAAGTTAGAAAAAGTCTCATTCCTTTTTCCCAGGAAAATAACATTCCAGACTCGGGCCAGATTCTGACAAATACAGCATACTAAAAAAAAGTC